TCATGAACCTGCTTGAACGCATTGGTGTCGGTAAGCTTCGCAGGGTCCACAACTCCGCGGCAATTCTGGCACTTGATCACAGCTGGACCATCGTCTTCGAGGTTGATGGCTCCATTTGCAGTTGCAGAGTCAGAAATGCGGATCCAGCACTCTGAGCACACATGGTGTCCACATGGAATGTAGATAGTTGCATTTTTGACACTGTCCATGCAGACAGGGCAAGTACCATCCTCTTCGCCGTCATTTTCTTTGATACGTTGCACTACAGCAGCGCTCAGAAGCTTGGCGTTGGCGATCTTGTCTACCCCTGGGATAGACGGGGAAGGTTCGTTTCGGAACTCCTGCATGAGGAGTGGGTGGCAGCATGCCTGCCGAAGACGGAGAAGTAGAACCAGAACATGACTGTAGTTTCTGCCCAGAGTTCCAGAGTCGAGGTATCGGGTGATCTGCCTTTGAGTGTTTGCATTGAGCTCCTCATAAACCTGGCTTTCCCTCTCATCGAACACAACATGGACCTTCTCGGTGACCTTTGGTGGGAGTTGCAAGATGGGCTCGCCATCAATCTTGGAGGATTTTGTACGTCGGAGACAGACAGACTTGACTAGGACGCGGAGTTGCTTCATAACATCCTCTCCTCCCCAACCAGATTTGATGCGTCTCACAAAATCCTGCATGAAATATGAATGTTAGCCAGCTAAAGAAGCCTCAACAGTGAGCTATAGAGAGTACTAACCGCCTTGAACTTTGTTGGGTTGCTGTAAGGCCGAATCCGGAGGAATCCCAATAGGGACTGGAAATCTTCCAGACGATTCATCATGGGCGTACCAGTCAGACACCAGCGGTATGTAGCATTGAGTCGACAACACGCTGTTGAAGATTTCGCACTTGGATTCTTGATGTTCTGTGCCTCGTCGATGATGACTCGGTGCCACTTGGCGGCAGGATTGAGAGGTCCCGCCGCATTTTTGCGGTCTTGAATCACCGAGGAATTATGCCCTTCCTCTGCCATCTTTTCCGCCTCGAGCAATGTTTTGTAGTGCGCAGTGATGGTACCAAACGTCGTGATGATGACATCGTACTTTTTGAGCTCCTTCCAGGGCCTGCGCCGTTGATGGTAGATCAAAACCGATAATTGGTGCCTTCCCGGCTTGACATGGCGCTGAATTTCGAGTCTCCATTGATCCATAAGTGCCTTGGGCGCAATAATCAAGGTCGGGCGTCGGTCTTCATCTTCGAATGGACGAGCAACCATAAGCGCAATCGCTTGAATAGTCTTACCGAGGCCCATGTCATCTGCAAGAATTCCTCCTTTGTGACTGCTTTCCTCCTTGGCCTTCATCCATTTCAGGCCGATCTTCTGGTGCTTCATCAATGTGACTCGAAGCGAATTTGGTGTCTCCTCATTGTCCGCTCTAGTTGCCTCCCGAATGTCTTTGATACCACTGAGCAGATTCTTGATATCCTCAGGGAACTCCTTTTCATTGTAGGCCCTATATTGAACGAGTTAAAATCAGAACAAGCTAAATTAAAGGAAAGATGCGGAACATACACTATGTCAGCATCATCATCGAATATTTCGTTCTGGTTGCGAATCACGTCAAAGGCCTTTTCAAACTTGTCAAATGCACCCGGCATTGTGTGTGAAGGCTCACGCGCCCAGGGCAGAACTCTGGAGGCAACTGATGATGAGGGATATGACATTTTTGAGGGACTCGACAACTGGGAGGGATAGGCTAGTTGGGAAGGATATGTCATTTGGGAAGGATACGACATTTGGGAGGGGTATGTCAACTGGGAGGGATATGACAACTGGGAGGGGTATGTCATTTGGGAAGGGTATGTCAACTGCGAGGGGTATGGCATCTGCGAAGGATGGGGTGGGTTTGAAGTGTATGGCGATTTGGAATATGGCGAAGGGAGAGAAGACGTGTGGGGATAGTTGAAGGAGCCGGGTTGGCGGGCTGGCTGCTTGCCATATCGAGAATTGAATGAATCAGCTGTGATTTCTTGAAGATCATCGTCGGAATTAAATGGAGTGAGTTTATTGAATGGGGCTATCGGGGCAGATGTTTGAGGAGCGTAAATGGCTTTTGATGAAATAGGTTCAAGTTTTACCGGTTGGGTGCGATCTGGAATATCCCATGCATCCTGCTCATTGAAGCCCTCGATGGGGAGTTGACGGTGATCCTCGTCGGCTTGGAGAGCGCGAGCCAATTCCGCATCTCGTTCCATTTGGAACTCTGCTTCAATCAACTTCGCCTGCTCATCACGCTCTTCCTGGAGGTCCTTTAGTAGATCTGCATTGTCACCTGCCGCTTCGATGAACTGCTTGTACGTGCGATAACTCTCCGCAAGATGAGCATCTTTTTCGGCATCTATCGCGTCGAGTCGAGATCTGCGAGGTTCAGGCTGCGAGGGAGCAATCCTTTTTGACGACCCCTGTGTCGTGAGCGAAATTTGAGATAGGGGACGCTGGCGTTTACGAGAATTATCTGGAGAAGGCTGCATGATTGGCGCTGGCGGCACTGTCGAATGGCGGGACCCGGTCGCGAAAGGCGAGGGCGCAGCCGAAGGCCAGTGAGGGGACGCAAATGAATCTCCGGGGATTCCAGTGAAAGCATTCGACGCCATGCGTGGAGCAGGCGCAGGCGTCCGGACTGACGGAGTGGGCGACGAAACTTGTGGTGTCGGGGCAGCTTGGGGAGTGGAAACGGTATCACCAAGTAGCGCAGCAACCTGGCCTTCCATCTTTCTGATGGTATCACGAAGCTCGTCTGCTTCTTCACAATCACCGCGCGTGGCGAGGAGGTCATCGTAGATGTATCTGTAGGTATCAAGATCTTCTAGCAGGTCTTTGATTTTGTCCTCTTTGGACTGATCGGCCGAAGAAGCCATGGCTCAAGGGCACCTGGCGCTGACCATGAAACCTTCCGAGACCAAGATATCTGACCAAATTATCCCGATCGTTGATAGCGTGGTAGAGTAGCGACGGTGATGGGTGTAGCTGCTAGGACAAAAGGCGAAGTCCAAGATCGACAGAGCTGCAACGTCAAATGGGCGCCTAGGATGGAGAGCAAAGTGTTCTGGGAGAGTCAGTCAGCGAAACTTGGGTTCTCATCAGCAAACAGCACGGGAGAAAGCGGATAGTGGCAGATGACACAGTGAGAAAGAGAAAGAAAGCATAGAAACAATTTATCATACTGCGTCTTTACGCCACCTGATCCGGGTATTTGCAGAGGATGTAGACTTACATCGAGTACTATCGACGCTTCACCGGGGAGAATCTGTGGATGACGGAGCGGATTTAGAGACCTCGGGGGCGAAGAAATGGCGAGCGCAGAAATGAGAGAGCCCTTGTTTTTATAGTGCAAAAGACTCGATGGAGACGGAACGAGTGTTGATACTCTTTGCGACCGTTTAGCTGGCCCCCGGGGTCGAGGTGTTCACCTTGCGGGGGGAGTTGAAGTTCTCGCCCAAGATGTCATCATCTATCGCGCTACATAGCGACCACTATGACTTTGGCCCTGTTGACTTTTATTGCCAGCAGAAAATTGTTGATCTAAAAAGACATCTTGAAAGACTCTTGGAATAAACTAGAGAAGACATCTGAAAAGACCTGAAAAAAGACCTGAAAAAAGAGATCAAAAAAGCCATGAGTTGAAACATCCTTCAACTCATGGTAATATCACCTTGATATTACCTTAAATGAACTGGACATTCAAAATATCTAAATCCTAGATCGGCAAGTATAAAGGCCGTATAATCGGTCCACTATTCTGCTTCTATATAACTGGCCAACTCACTATACATCTATGGAAACCTCTCGTACAAAGGTGGACATACCAATTCAAGTGCTCTATGCGCAGTATTAGAAATTACTTCAAAAAAGGCGGAGATAAAAGCGGTAAATACCAAGAGCCAATTAAAGCCAAAGTTCATAGTGGCCGCTATCCACCGCAGTAGCTGCAAGCACCTGCCTAGGTTCCACGAGGCACTTTTTACTTGAGCCTCCTTCAGGCACTGTGGTTTTATTCATAGTTATATGTTGTACAGAAGTATTGAGGTCTTACATAAAAGGTTCTTTAGTAATAAAGAGATAAATACCTAGAAGTACGTAGGCAATTCTTCTCATTTCCCTGCATCACTGCATCCTTTCATGGATGTAAACGCGCTCTTATCAACACGTGATAATGCGCGTCACGCGCCAAACAGACTAAACAAGGGGTTAGATGGCACTTGCCCTACTATCCCAATTGGGCACATGATGCCCGAGACACCATCTAGTTAGTTCTAGTTTCAGCCATTTCGGAGGTGTAGTTTTAACATTTCGATCATGACTGTGAGAGGTTGCTATAACTCATATTATACATGGGCTGGTATAGGAAATTTCGATTCGCATGTTATAAGCCAAGTAGGAGTACAGCATTCGACGTGCAGCTTGGGCTACAAGTGGTTCTGATATCTAGACCAGGGGAAATATCTCTTACATGTAGCTGAAACGTAAATCAGGGAGATAAATGCTAAGTACTGTTCAATATACGGTCTAAAGACAGGAGATTCAGTTTATATATATTGATTTGCAGCAATTGATCACTTGGATATATACTAAATTGTTCTACCGCCCACCATCGACGTGTAGTGCCTATCTTTCAGTGGATCGAGCTGCTGCATCAGTGATATATATCCGCAAAGGGTTTCTGCTGGGACAAACGACCGACCATGGCACCGGAACAGGGACTGATTCGATTATGGAAGACCAAGCGCATCCAACAAGTTCTCACAAGCCATCTAGCAATGCCGTCTAGTATGTCGCAAATTCGCTGTCTATCTCGCACCAATCCTCTTCGTGGATGTTGACGTCCGCTTTCGCAGAAGCACTTTCAACAGGCCATCGCGGATGGCAGCTTTAGAACGCATTGGGGGACTTGTCCAAGCCATGACGTTTAAGATCTCACATGATAGGGAGACCTTCTTACCTCCAATCCTGGATCCAATCAATCATGGGGACAGAACAAACCTTCATCTACATACCACAACGGTGCCAACCTGTTGGCACCAGCCCTAAATATAGCAGTTGGCAAATGACAGAGCTGTTAGTCAAGCAGTATCCGCCTTTGTTCCATGAATCTACCAACATCCCATCATTTGTCCAAGGATTGACGATGATGAGCGGCTTGCAACATCTATGAATTTCCTGCGAGGGTCAAGTACCAAGCCATCGCTACCGCCGAAGTGTGGTAGATTGTGCATTGATCTCGCTGCGAATGGCAATCGAACAAGCACCATTGAAAGATCTCCACACTCTTTCATTGCTATCAGTCCACCCAGGAGCAGTTCTTTACCTGCATCCAGCTCCGGGATTTGGTGCTTCGCCTGCATCTTGCAAGCGCTGGTCTCCAATCCGCAAGCTCACTGTCCATATGACGAGTTTCGATCATGAGCCAGGTCAACCGACGGACCACCTCAAGCTCCTCCATGCATACTTAGGAAGGTTCTCATCTCTGCAAAGACTGGTTTTTCATTGGGAAGGCGAGAGGGGCCTCTCACCCCTGTCACTTGCCATAGAGCCGAGCCTTAACAGCAGAGCCAAAGGGAAGCCAAGTCAAGCCTGTCCCCAGAGATGTGTATTACCCTTACGGCCATTAAATTTCCAACACCGTCAACAGATGGAGCTAGTCAATGCAACAATGGACGCGTCGCAAGTAGCGTCTTTCATCCGGGAGCGCCGGAGTTCCCTACGCGAATTCAATTTTGAAAACGTGGTGCTCCGCAGCGGTAATTGTGACGATGCTCTCGCGCCATTGACACGAATCAGCGGCGGCGATGGATGGAAGCAGGGTCAGCGCGATACTGCCACCGTGGATGTGCCGATAGTGTTGAGTCCAGCAGGAGTTAGCCAGAAACAGTTACAGAGGGCAATTTGTGCTTTGCAGCAATGAAAGGGACCGAAGATGCTAAGAAGTCTTGCCAAAGCGGGACCCTGGACACGCGAGCTGTCGTGGGAGAGCCCGGATCATATGAAGCGACTGCTGCGGTCTTCGGTGTTTAGTTGGCGATGACGTCATAAGGGGTGTCCTCCGAGGAAGGATCAGCATATGCTAATGATTGTACGGAGTACAGAGTAGTGTCGCGGTGAATACCGCATTTGTGCAACCTTCAGGTCCCAATGCAACACAAGGCCGGTGTATGTGGAGTCGGAAATTCCTGGGGTGGGCACTGTCAACACGGGGAGGACTAGACGAAAGAGGACTGCGACCTCGGAAAGTGTAAAAGTAATGCAGATCTTAGTCAAGTCTGGGCAAAATCCGAAAGGATCAAGCAGAAAAAGAACCAAAACAGCATAAAAGAGAAAAAGAGAATAATCACAGACACGAGAGAGCTGGGGAAGGTGTGTGGGGGCCTCGGCTCCGGTGGACGGTCGAGTCAAGTTCACATGCTCTGGCAGTTTGTCATTTATAGTCGGTCGCCCGCCTTTGTGACTTTCCAACCACCTTGTACTACCATATTCACCATGTCTCTCAAGAAAGGTATGCATCCTTTTATCTGTCTATACCAGTCAGCACCAGCTAACCAAAATAGATTCCCACCCCTCGTCCGCTGCCTTCGACGTCATCAACCAGACGCTCCAGGCCAACGAAGCTGACCGCAAGGATGCCCTCAGCAAGGCTAAGGCTATCTTCTCCTTCAACCTGAAGAACTCCAGTGGTGAGGAGGCTGCCTGGTACCTCGATCTCAAGAACAAGGGCGAGGTTGGACAGGGCGCTGCCCCTGCTGGTAGCAAGGCTGATGGTGAGTATACATTGCGGATATCCGTGTTAATGTATCGTCTCTGACATATGCTAATTTCTCTCGGTCAATAGTGACCCTCTCTCTCTCCGATTCCGACTTCGCCCAGCTCGTTTCCGGCAAGGCCAACGCTCAGCGTTTGTTCATGGGCGGCAAGTTGAAGATTAAGGGTAACATTATGAAGGCGACCAAGATGGAGCCTATTCTGAAGAAGGCACAGGGTGGTGCCAAGCTGTGAAGATTAGATACCCTTTTGAGAAATTATATACGAAGCCGTTCATCTACCAGGGCGCTTATTTTCCGCGTTTCATTTTCGGGGTATTTTGGTTGTTCAGCGTCGAGTATACAAATGGTCTTATATGTGCCGATGATCGTGGTCATTGCTAGTTCGGATCGATGAACGCCAACTCTACAAATCCCGCACATGTCCCTGTCTCGAAACCCGCCCCTGATCCAGAACCACAAAGTAATCTGCATCCTTGACCGCCTCTACGCGATGCGCAATCGTAATGACAGTAGACTGCTGCAACTCCTCCCGGATAATCTGCTGAATCTCAAGAGAAGTATCATGATCAACGGAAGCAGTCGCCTCGTCGAGAATGACAATCGCGCTTCGACGAAGGACAGCCCGTGTCAGAGCAATAAGCTGCCGTTGACCCTGGCTAAGATTCCTTCCTCCAGCTTCAATATGTGTTCCAAGATGCCAGCCGTGCCGACTACAAAGACGCTCGAGAATTTCGGTGCACAGCTCATCAGAATAATCTTCCGTTGGGTCCAGATTGAGTCTGATGCTACCAGGGAAGAGGACGGGATCTTGCGCGACGAAGGTAACTCGTGTGCGCAATGCTTGTGTGCTCACATCCGCGATATTGATGCCATCGATGAGAATGCGACCGGATTCGGGTCTGATTACGCTCAAAAGGGACATTGCCAGTGTGGACTTGCCGCTGCCAGTACGGCCGATAACCGCTGTAGTAGAACCCCCGGGAATGCGAAGAGAGACGTTTATAAGTGAGGGATCGAGATGTGGTGCATAACGGAGAGTTGCATCTTCGAAGACAACGTCGCTACCGTAGGCTGGCCATGCGGCTGGGGGAGCAATGGTCCCGGGGGTTTCTTCTTCGATGTGGAGTAACTCGTCGACTCGCTCGACCGACACAAAGTCCATTTGAAGTTGGCCGTACTGCTTGCACAATGCATGTGTGGAATCGACGAAGTTGTTGGCAGCAATAAGCACGAATGCTACCAGTCCTGGGGTGGTATTGGTATACAAAGCCAGAGCTGTTAGACAAAAGGTTGAAAAGGCGGATAAGCTCTCAAACCGGTACATGAGCCAGCTCTGGAGTGACCAGTAGAAATGATCCATTCCCTGGAACTTGTCAACCACGGATATAACCCGGTTCTGGAACTGTGGCTCCGCATGGAAAGCTCTGACGGTGGTCAGGCCGTGCAATAGCTCGCCGAAGTTGGATAACAAAGGACTTAGGGACACCATCTCGAGTCGTCGTAGGCTTTGAGATGTGGGAAGGAAACGTAGGAATACCAAGACAAACCCGACTGTGAGAGCTAGGGAGAACAACAAAAATACCGGGGTAGCAGTAGCGATTACTATGACAGAAGATATCCAAATGATAGCCTGGAAGGCGATCACTTGGAACTGCTCACTAATGTTGCCATCCACGACTCCAATATCAGACGTGAGACGGTTCATCAAACGCCCGAGGGGGATTGTATCTTGAGAATGATTAGTTAGCTGTGTGCTGTTGAGTCAAGCTGTTGCACTTACCCAAGTATCGGAACGTCGCATGGCTGACTCGAATCAAGACCCGTCGGAACAAGGATTGCCCAGCATAATAGACGATGACCAGCATTAGAAGCTGGGCGACAAGGAGTGTGGCTGCTTGGAAAGAGATGATGGCAAAGAATGTCCATAGCCAGGGTCGCACATCCTCACGTGGGGAAGGTAGTTTGTCTATGGGGTTCTGAGGTGTAAAGTATGTGTCCATGCTCAAATTTGAGGTTGACCAGGCACCTTGTGATGACCTGTCACTCAGGTTTAAGAGACCCTCTCGAGGGACAGTTGTCTGCTCGTAGGCTTCTCCCCACCCTTTGAGGAACCATGATTGCCCGACAGCCATCAGTCGGTAGATTGCCAGGATCAGGACGAGGGCAAGCCACCATCGGTACTTTCCGGCCTTAATATAGTTCCAGTACACTCGAGCCTTGACACCCCCGTCTGCTCGATGCTCTTCCTCAATGAATTTATCAGGCACGGCAGCTGTTTCCTCCTCAATGGTAGTTTCCGCTTCTGTTTCGATTTCATGGTCGGTAAACTGCAGGGACGACTCGGTTGCCTCAAGCTTGATGGCATCCTTGTCGTAAACAGTGGCATGCCTTTCACAAATATCGATAATTTGATCAGCAATTTGACGAACCAACGTAGTTCGATGCGTCACTAGAACGATAGTTCGGTCTTTCATCAGAGGACCCGAAAAGCATTTGCGGACTATGGATTCCGCGGTATTATGGTCTAGCGCAGACAAAGGGTCATCCAAAAGGAGAACCCGCGATGCGCTATAGACAGCTCTTGCCAGAGCTACTCGCGCTTTTTGTCCACCCGATAGACCAATGCCATTTTCACCCACAAACGACAAATCACCATGTTTGAATTGAGCAAGATCCGGAAGCAAGGCGCAGGCTTCCAGTGTCCGCTTGTAGCGCTGGTCATGGTAGGGAGCGGAGAATAGAATGTTATCGCGAATACTCATGCTTTGCAGCCACGGGGTTTGGGCACAATACCCCACCATTTCGTTTGGGATATGAACTGAGCCGCTAAGTCTATCGAGTTCTCCTAGAAGAGCCTGCAGAAACGCGGTTTTTCCAGCACCCACCTTGCCAGTGATAACGGTCAGTCCTTTGGGTATGGTGACATCGATATCAACAAGGACGGGTGAGACCTTCCCTGGCCATGCGAACGAACAAGACTGCATCGAGAGTGGATTATTGTTCGCCAGGGGCTCAGACGGCAGATTCTCCTTGTCTGGTTCGGACATAAAGTCCTCGATACGCCCAAGGGCAATGAAGGCATTGATAAGCGACGTGATGAGACCAGGAATATCCCGAAGACGGGTCTCTAACATGGTAAACAACTGCAATGCGGGAAATATAATATCAATCCGCAATTCATGACCGGCCAAAAAGGTATATGCGTACAACGCAACCACAGGAAACACGCCACTAGCGAAAGCGTTGATAAAGCGAATCAAGATACTCCACAGACTTGTCACAATCCGAATATTCAATTCATGTTGTCGGGCATCCATTACCTGCTGAAGCCAATGATTCTGCCACCCGTACCACCGCAGGTGACGAATTGCTTCCACAAACTGCGAAGTTATCTGGAGTCTTGTATCCGTTGCCACTCGTCTGACCCGCTCCCAACGAAGGAGAGCTCTGGTTACTAGTGCATTCACGATCTGTGCAACTAGAACCGCTAATATTCCAAGGAAACAAGATGGACCGAAGAGCGTCCAGACAAGGAAGGTAGCGATCAAGAGTCCTAGTGGTTTGTCAATCAACGAGTCAACTTCCCAGAATCTCTGTGCAACTTCGTAAACATCTCCGCGCAAGAGATTAAATATTTTGCCAAGTGATGCAGCTTCTTTGGCCTGTTTCTGCGGGGCCTTTTGGTTACGATAAATGATACGTTGCCAGAAACCTTTTACGGTTTTATTTGGGGGTTGATGGATCTCTTGAACGGGGGCCTCATCATTGATGCGATTTACTTCCTCGTCGGATGGTCCTGGGTTGCCCTCGATCATTAGTCCGGAAATGTTCTTTCGTGAAAGGGCTTTTTCATAGACCATCATGATCATTTCACCCCTCGACCGTTCGTAACATCGTCTTCCGTACCACAGAAGTAAAACTTGAGACTGCGCAGCGACAAGTCGAAGAGCGAAGGACATGAAAGCGTATGTCAAAGGCACGCGCTTGGGTCGGGACGGGTCTTTCATGGCCTGCAATAGTTGCTGCAATAGAACGGGCGTAGAAAAGTCTGTTGATAATATTAGCGATATAAAACAAAAGAAGAAATCCGAATTCTCATACCGCATATCATCTGGACAAGAGAAATGGTAGAGATGATAAAAACATCAATTCCATTGGCTCTCAACAGTCGACTGAGGACCGAACCACGAAGTCTACGAAACTTTTCGTGCAGTCGGCTGTGCTGAAAGTCAAATCCAAGCAGCCAAACATCTTGTTCATGTAGTTGTCTTTTGCGCCCAGTTGAGATAAGCGGTGCCATCCACGACACTGTGAGGAATTGCCAAAGTCTTAGATTATCTTCTGGGCTGCGGAAGTCATCGGATGGCTGTTGACCAACAGCGCTTATATCTATCGATGGCAATGAAGGTTCGCGGAATGGCATTAGGAGGATTGTTGCACAGGCTGCTGCTGCCGCCACTGCGGCAACGTAGCGAGCAACAGTCTTGAATTTCGGGCATACATCTGGATGAGTCGCCAAAGAAAGTTCAATTGCAAATGCTAAGGCATAATACAAGAGCATCGAGATGGAACATGATCTGGGCCGCTTGGCTGCAACCAGAATAGATACAGTGGCCTAAGGAATGGTGTCAGTAACTGATACTCCTAGAGACGGGGAGAACCGACCCATGAGAGAACAAGCATAAAGGCCGAGGCGTCAATTCCCGGAGGAACAAATTGGACTGTCTCAGCTACAAGCCCAGTAGTCGAAAATATAATAAGTGAGACGGTCCATCGCAATGATTGCTTGGGCTGATCTAGTGAGAGCTCTTGGGTATCATGTTGCTCGGAAACAAAAGGAACAGTCCACTTGGGGCGCCACCGTTGCAAGAAGTACCCAAGTACATGGCTTGACGCAATAAGCAATACTATTATGGCCGGAATACATGCTAGGTATGGCAATGCACAAGGTGATAGCCACGCATTATGCGAGTCCTGGATTGGTCAGCCGGTGCGAGCCGAAGCAAGGGGTCCATGAGTTCATACCCAGAACTGGTCACACTGGGATCCGGGTGGACCCTGGACCAGCGGAATTTGATTCATGCTTGGTCCGAAGAGCAATGCTAGCTCTTCGCAGTAGCCTCAGGGTGCCATCCCTTTGTGAAGCAACGTGGGGCTGGATCAATATTCATCCGTTTGGCCCGTGCCATCTATACAGGCAGATCAGTACTAGGCCATAATGGGTGTTTGGTTCCCGTTTGGGACATTGTACATAATATAGGGAGTTAAGAAAGCATTACCTGTTCTAATAGAGTCGCAATTAGAGTTGTCGCCTTGTAGGGAAATATGATACCGACTCTTCCAGGCCCTACGGCTTTAACGGTCGGGCCGATGTGACGGGATCATCCGCCGCGGGGCCGCCCATTCAGCAGAGTCCTGGTGGACCTTGCATTGCCAACTCACAGGCTACTACATTTGAGTAGAAAGTTGCTAGGATAAATATGTAAAAGGCTAGCGGATCTTACCAATGCCATTGGTGCCAGCGTGAAAATTGGTTTCATTGCAAGCATGCCTCCCCAAAACCTAGGTGGTGGCCTGAACCCTAAGGCTCTAGCTATTGATTCTGCATGTCCTAACCAACTAACTATTCATTTTTCTCATCAGATTAAACTTCTCGGAGTGAAGCGAGCAAACCCAAGCTCGTCCCATGAATCGCCCAATGCATCTTCATGTTGCGTCTGTATAGCTCTGAAGGCATCCTCAGCCATGTGGCGCATATCATCTTTCTATGGGCAGATAGATATGGAGGGGAAAAAGGCCCGAGGTGCATGCAGCTCGTTGTATTTGATCGCATTTGCGAGAAGCTCACTGAGGCTGTCGAGGGGAGATTCCAGCTCAGGAACCACTGCCTTACTTTGTCGAAGAGAATCAGCAAAGCAGTTGAGTAACTCATGATCCGCCGGTCTTTGCGCTTCACTGATTGCACGATAGAACGCTCACAGGATTTTGTTGTACTCATGGTCGCTGGCCACCTCACACAGCTTTGACGCCTCTTTCTAGGGGTGCTAGTCATTAAGAATGCGATGAGCCTGCGGGGCTTCATAGCAGACAAACCATTTCTCACCCAAAACAGGACGGCATTCAGTAGCTCGACATTCGTGCAAATAACAAGACTGCTGGCGTGTCAGAGCTGGTACTGTATTTTAGGATGAGGCGCTTGGCGGTGATTCAAATGCTGGTGGATGACTGGCTGACGGATTTCAGTAAACCACATAAGACAACATATTCTCATGTTAAAAGGCATAGTTTATAGGTTCTTCTATCCTCTTCGGGTCTGAGCTTTCCATTCAAATCAATCATCATGTTAATGTGTTCTATTATGTGAGTGGTGCCAGGGATAAGTCCCCCCGTGGACTTTATTTCTGCGGCTACATAGCCCTCCTGAGAACTCGTGTTTTACTGTGCAATAATACAATAATTCCATGAACCTCCTGCATTGAAGAACCCTCCACGGAAAATCGCCCGATGCTGTCTATCGTATTTTTCTGCAGGGTATCAATGTCCGGCACCAAGTGTGCCAAAGCCGGACAAACAGAGCCTAGGGTCAGAAGAAGAATAGAAGAGAACATCCTAGAATAATCAAATATGAGCTGAGTTCGAGTATGAGGTATCTCGTGGACTTACGTATGAATAACGATTTCCGCGCAAGATGACGGCCCCGTCAGTCTCCGCGCCGAGGCATCCAGATACTCGCGACAATTGGCTATACTAGACTCGCACTGTTTGAGCACCATTGGTGGAAGATCATTCTCTGGTGAAGAATCAATCGCACAAAGAAGAAATGGTCTAGTTATGATATCCTTGGCCGAGTGAAAGCGGTGGAGCATATTGAGTTGAAGGCCAGTACATCGAGACGGATCGTTAATATCTGGTTTGATTGTACCTGGTAACAAATTAAACCAATTGTCGAGCTGTCGGTCAAGCTCTTGAGAGACATTGAGAATTGTAGAAAGTGACTGGAAATCATACGACGGGCTGTCGCTTGAAGCTGGCTGTAGACCAAGGCTGCGCCTTGTCCAGTCACTTCCGTACATCGTGTGGTGTACTCTATTAAGTAGACGTCGGACGGACAATTCGGCGAGGAAGACGTGTGTTTCTTGGGCATCATGATTTGCAAAGGTTGGGAAAGGTGTCAAATCAATTACATGTTCGATGCCACTTCGTGGTAAATGGTGTTCAGCTATTAGATCACTATGAACAATATCAGTATAAACGTGATTTATCCATATGGAACCAAGAAACCAACCACTCGGTGTCGAATGCTGCCCATGATAGCAAAATAATACTGGACTTGAGCTCATGATTATCTGGCGAAGCTTGGCTTCTATCGCAAACAGGTACCCAATCAATATTGCTGAAGTCAAACAGAATAGAACAGGAGCATTAACTAACCGGCTATTCAAATATTGGATACTGGTAGAAGCCATATGTATCAGTTTCCATGATTGTAGGGGGCGTAAAAGAAACCCAAAATATTTCGAAATGAGTATCAAACTCTGAGGAAGAGTGATTGTGGGACAAAATGACAGTAAATACTCGTTCATCAATATCTGCAAAGCAGGTGAAATGAAATCTGCCCCAGGCACCCAGTATGGAGAGTTGGAGTTTGTCGGGTCAATTTGCTCTAAAGCTGCAGATCCTAATGCAAGAACTGCAAGACATAGCGCAGAGTCACAGTCAACACTCAAACCGGCTCTAGTATGGTGATCATAAAGCCCCAAAAATTGGTCTTTATTAAGGATTGGCATCTCAACATGGACATATTTGAAATATGCCTCCACTAGTGGATAGGTGCTCGCTTCATCAAGGATTGGCAACTGACTCGCTGTAATTGTACCTGGAACGAAAGATAGCTGGTGCGGCATATGCCTTTTTGATTCCGCGCGTATGAACAGGTCTGGTGGAAATTCCCCGAATAGTGTCTTTACTCTGTTCATATGTAGCATATATTCAGTTGTTGTTGTGTGGCCGATGGGAATACTCATCGGCGGTATGTCATGTTCAGGTGGTATGAAAGAAGAAGCATTTGTACTGATAAGCTGGGAGATATCCACCGGGTTGGGTCTCGACGGGGGCGAAATCAACATGGTGGAGGGGTGAGAAAAGTCCGCACTTTCATGCTCAGATGAGGGAGGGAATATGAAACCAGCACTTCTTGTTTCACCAGTCTGGGGTGTTTGAGGGAGCCTGGGGTTACTCCACAGAAAGTTCTCAATTGCATCAAGACGGCGGAAGAACTCCGATGAGGAAGTTTCTCCTCGATGCCTGTCGGAGTTTAACGAGGCTGGAAAAACATTAAACTAAGCAGGTCTCTCACCTCGAAGATTCAGCTTCATTATAAACACAATCAATACCCGAATCCTCACAGAGGCTGCAGGACGGTATCGCGCCATTGCAGCGGCGTTTTCTGCTTGTCCGTCAGCATGGGGAACCTCGGTCATCGGGTAAGGGGACCCTACCGCCTCCGACAATAGTTGCATGCCAAAGAAGCACGCTTACGGCCGCTTTCCATGTGGTAAAGGCTATATGGATTTGAAGGATCAAAGTTACCTAGATGGGCCGTGTTGAGGTTGATGTTAATACAAGGCGGGAAACTCCGCCGGGGACCCGCTTCTCTCCCGCCTTAGTCATCAATTCGCCCGCCTGCCCGCCTGCCTCCCCGCGGGTCCTTCGGAGCTCACGATGTACAAAGTAGGTCGAAGGTATTAATTTAACTAACTCACTACCCCTCCAAGGTTGCTTGTGATCTTATTTCTTTCATGAATTTAGAGATTATCTCGCTCTGAGCTGGACATATATATTGACTCTTTGCTCTACACGAAAGCCCTTCTACCGACCAGACAACTGCAAAACACACAAGGCCGTTTACCAACCTTTTTTGGCTTGGTTTTTTAAATCATGCATATTGTATAGTTAGTTAGGCAGCTATGCAAGGTATTTCTGCTTTATTAATTCCTCACCTCACATTCCATTACATCTGAAGCCGTAGACATGGCCGCATTCGGCAATGAAATTGTGTTGGGCCGATCATCTTTCGGGAAACACTCGGCTCCACCTGAGTTCCCCGGAGCGCCTTCAGAGTTTTTTTTGGGCTTGGCCGGGGTTACCCGGTTCCTTTTAGTCTTTAAAACATATTGAAACATATTGAGATTATTGGTTTGTTCGATTTAGGGTCTAAAGTCTTGACCTGAGTCGTGTGGAAAGTCATTATGTTTGACGGAAAGTATGCCGCGGACGGCAAGGTCGATGGACCTCTCGAAAAAGACTTGGAGAAAAAATTGAATGCGAAGCAATTGGAGCCCTTTGGAAATGAAGAGACTGCGGAAATCAAGTATCGGACTATGAAATGGTGGTAAGTTACTATTTCTTACTATTTCCTGCATAAGGATTGTGAACTTGATCATGGACATGGCTAATCACCCTTTAACAGGCACTGTGGAATGCGTGAGTAGCTGAATTTGAGATACCATGCACATCGAAAGCTTCGGCTCCTAACATCAATTCCAGTCATGATCGCAGAGAATGTCTCTGTCGGAATTCTGTCCTTGCCATCCGCAGTGGCTACCCTTGGAATGGTTCCGTATGTATTTTCTTGGCCGCTCCAAGACCCCATAGCTAACCTTGTTGACAGCGCTGCTATCATGATTCTGTTTATCTCTGCTCTTTCATGGTATACCGGCTATGTCATTGGCCAATTCAAACTTCGTCATCCCGAGGTTCACAGCATGGGAGATGCCGGCGAGATCTTGATGGGTCCTTTTGGCCGTGAGTTGCTAGGACTTGGCCAGCTTCTGCTGTTGATCTTCCTCATGGCGAGCAACATTTTGATGTTCAACATCCTTATGAATGTATTGACCGATCACGGTACCTGCACGTTGGTGTTTGGTGTCGTTGGACTGATAATCTGCTTTTTGGGCGCCTTGCCTCGTACTATGGACAAGGTTTACTGGATGTCCGTCATTTGTGAGTACAGTCCTACCTAGTGCAGTCATGACAATGTTGCACTCAAAGAAAAGCCCAGCTGACCAATACGAAGCATTCCTGAGTGTCTTTGTTGCGACAGTGTTGACCATGATCACCGTGGGAGTCGAGAGCAAAGGACATATCAAGAACGAGGCCACCACGGATGTCAGCTTCCGCGAGGGCTTTTTGGCGGTGACAAACATTATTTTCGCTTACCGTACGTGGAACACCAAATGATGCTGGTCATCAGCACCTAACAAAGAAAACCGAGCTAAACCAAGGACCGATCTTATAGTCGCCCACGTTGCGTACTTTGGTTTCATGTCCGAGACAGAAGACCCGCGCACATTCAACAAGTCACTCGCCATGCTTCAAATTGTCGACACCGTCCTGTACCTTGTTAGTGCACTGCTCATCTATCATTACGTGGGACCGGAAACAGCCACCAGCCCCGGCGTTCAATCCCCTGCCATTCTCTCTCTGAGCCCGTTGATGGGCAAGATTGCCTGGGGTCTTTCGATCCCGACTGTGAGCTTATTCTTCTAGTTCGCTTGTATCCTGTGTCCACCTTACTGATTCAATACAGACCATTCTTTCTGGGGTTGTCTTGGGCCACGTCGCGTGCAAATACATCTACGTGCGCATGTTCCGTGGATCCGACAAGATGCACAGCCGAAGCTTCCTGTCGATTGGATCCTGGGTCGCTATCTGTCTCGCAGTCTGGGTTGTTGCTTGGGTTGTGGCGGAATCCATCCCTGTATTCAATGATCTGCTGAGTCTAATTGTAAGTCTTCTACCAAATCTTATTTGACTCAGAACGTTGGCTGATGCAGAAATTATAGAGTGCGGTATTTGGAAGTTGGTTCAGCTGTAAGATTGACCCCCCTTCTCATTGAATTTCTCAAGATCTAAACAAATGCCGACGTGTCATTAGTCGGACTCCCTGCGATCTTCTGGTTCTATATGAACAAGGGCCGTTATTTCCAGAACTGGAAGAAGACTGTTTTGACGATCACCAATATTTTGGTCTTGGCTATTGCCTTTGCTATTGTAAGCATCTCCCTACTTGATTTTGTTGATGGTGGCTAATCTTTTCCAGTGTGGGTTGGGACTATGGGTATCAGGAGTCGCAATTCACGAAGACTCCGTTTCCAGAAGTTGGTCATGTGCCAACACTGCGTGATTGGAGAGCAATGAACCTTGAGGAAGACGCTTCTCCTCTAAAAAAAAACCATAGATTCACCGTTTAGATTTAGATCTGTTTTACTGCATACTCAAGCCTCCCTTATAGACCAGAGCTTTTTAGCATAATTTCATGATGCATTTCAGGCTTTCTATCTTAGGTTGGTTTAAGCTCACAAGCTTCCCTTTCAGAACCACGGTTTTACCAAAATCTGTCTCAGAGTGTTGGCTTCCTAATGCCAAGATACACTAGTCTTCAACCAAAATAGTCCCGGGTTAGCAATGTTCCTCGCTCAGTATTTGCTTCCCCTCCCATAAGCGAGCAGAAAATTATTGTGTTTGGCTCCTGAGTTTGCTTGGTATTGGAAACGGCAGGTTTCCAGCATCAACCCATCTCTTGTCACGACCCCGACAAACTGCCCGCACCAAAACGCCGATCATCTGAGATGCCGGACGATCACATGGATCCACATTACACTTGGCCCCTGGTGTTGTTGACTGATTTGTGTGCATCGAGCCAAGCGAACCTTACTGGGCTTGTGAAGTCAATAGTCGAGGACGATCTCAAGTCTCATTCCGACAAGTATTTTGGGACATCTGCCCAAGCCAAAAATGCCACTCATAATGTCAATGTCAATGTCCGTGTATGGTCACCAACTCGTCGCCTTCTAGGGTCTATCGCCCAAGTAGGCCCACCTCGTGATAATCAAAGCAATCTCTATGCCCTTGCTATCCTAGCATACCGGTCGGGTCGACCAAGAATCATCGTGGCGGATGAGACGACCAAACGTCAGCTGTCAGGAAAATTTCTCTATGATCGTGATCTATATTCAATAAGGGGGGGAGGGCACATCTCGGTCATTCTCCTATCCACAAATAGGAATCCCGACTCGGGTGAATATTCAGTTTTCGCAAAACGTGCCGTGTGCTCCCCACAAGAAACCATGTTCAATATCGACGACATAGACTATATATGGCGCGATCCCGATCCTCAAGGAAGGCGGTTCAAATCTGTTCACAAAACATGGGGGCCTTTGTGGGCCCATGGGCAGGGATGGAGGGGAACCATGTTACATGATCCTGATGAGGAACCGTTCAAGCCCGGGACGGCAAATATCCTAGGAAGAGAGTACTATGCCAAAGCCGTGATCGCTGCTTTCACTCAGTATCTACCCACCGAGCTGGCCATCCAGATCGCCAACACAAACAGCGACCCTATCAAGATGCCAATATGGGACCGTCGTCCAAGTAACACACATCTAGTCATCTTCCTCCTGTATCCTACAACACCCCAGGAATTGGGAAACACGTACAAAAAGCTAGAGGAGGTGATTCCAACAAAGTTTTTCCACCGCGGCCCGAGGATGCCAATAACAATTCCAAATACGGGATTTACCGTGCAGACCGAGGAGTGGTACACCGAACCCCATATGACACTGGAAGTTGTTCCCTGGAATAAGCACCGCATGAAGACCCGTCGAGACCTCATCAACTTCTGGAATGAATATCGTGTGTGGGATGCTCAATTGGGGAGAAAGGAGGGTGGAATCATGCCTTTGCTCTATCTCCCCAGACCGCTAGCTGCTCTGGACGAGGCTCAGTTCGGCGTTTTTACATGCAAGCCCCGTAAACCAAATATATTATTCGTGCAGGAAATGAAGTTCTTCGACATTTGCACTGACATGGAGGAATGGGGCTATGTGCGTACTTCCCATGAGTTTGACTCTCGCAACAAAGGTGCCAAAGAGATACTCTGCCAGCCGGACAACCCATTTTTTATCGATCCACCTCTATGGCTACCTATCATCACGACAAATTGGATTCGAACCGTGGTCTTCCTCACGAACCAGTTAAGCCACGCCGCAAAACAGACATTGAAGCAGCTTATCGTGCCACCCATTGAAGTAGATTCGGACGGGTCCGATTATGATTCCCAACATGGTGATACATCCCCCGAGTATTCGATCGTACCTTGGCGCGAGGACGCCGCTATGATCGATGGAAATGTGGAAGATATCTGGGAGCTCGTTCAGGCGCTTTATGTGTATCCTCAGGCGCTTCAACGAAGCACAATCTCCTTCGTTTGTGTCGATCAGCAGTTTGAGCTTGATCAATCGATCATTCTGGTCCAAGCAGAAGAGTGGACTGACTCGGAGCATGATCTACTCCACCATTTGCCCTTTCCGCGATTGAGAGGGTTCAAATATACTCGTGCCTCTGCTGTGTTGACATATTTTGAGAACACAAACAGAGTCAATGTTGACGCAGTGAGTCACGATTGGTCAAAATATAAAAGACCGGGATGGCCGGCACCTGGGATATTGCCTGATGACCCTGTAGAAGATATAAACTATGTTGACGCAAGCGCTTACCCTTGATTTCACCGGTGGAATCTATGGAGGATGATTTAAACTGGGCCGTTTACATGGGACTATCTGCGTTGACATGCTGACGAAATCATATTTGCCGCTTCATAGCGCAAGAGGTCAAGGTGAAATGAATATATGGTATCCGCAAAGTCTGGAAATAGCTCGTATTCAATGTATTCCCCTACAACAATATTGAGAGATCCTAATATTACACGAAAGAAAAGCAGATAAGTGACTTGTATGATGATACAAGGAATTCTAGAAGAGGAATCAGGTATAGATCTGAATGACATTGTCGCCTCAGAATATATCCAAAAGCACAAGCAAAGTGACTACAAATAATAGCGGAAGTTTGGGTTCTCCCAGTCAGTCTCATCCTGATCGAGCGCAATATCGAGCGCAAGAACCTCCTCAATTTCACTCTCCTCGCGAGACTCAGGGTTTCTCTTTACATTCTGCTGGCGGTCGCGTTGCTGATTCTGGAACTGGAAGAGTTGCCGCAAACAAATAATAGCGACGAAGGCAATAGCCAGTGAGATCATAATCCCGATCCAGGCACTCTGCTCATTGTTAGTTTTTATCTATCAGACATGAAACTAAGTAGGAGCACTCACCCCGTAATTAGGCATTTCATCGGAGAAGAAGAGGAAAGGACCAGTGATGTTACCAGCACAATTGCCGATGAACATCACTGCGGTCACCGTCGTTCTCTTTGTGTATCCGGCCACGTTAGAGGCAATGATACTCAGAATGATAGGAATTCCGGCGGAATATGCAGGGAAAAGCCACATCCCAGCCAACCGAGCTATTTTCTTGGTGGGGTCGATCTGAGAGACCATAATAGAGCCGGCTAGACTGATGAGCGATAAAACAGCAGCGGTAAGGCAGCGAGATTTGCGGAATTTTGTAACGATAATTGTGGCCAGAACCACCCAGATGAGAGTAAACACCGACGTAGGTAACCCAACGAGCAGAGTGTTGAAAGTCGAGTATCCAAATCCAGAAATGACAATGCTTCCGAACTGCGAAAGGGAATAAATAATCAGTAAGGCTTAATGGAGTGTGGTCTGGTTATTCTTACGCTTGTGAGACCTCCATTAGGGATGCTGGATGCCATGGAGTACACAAAAATAAGCCAGGTTTTCGGGTCGATAAGTGCTTCGATACATTGGCTTTTTGACCATTTATGCGAAACTGTAGTGTGTGACTCCCGCTGAGCACGTTGGTGGACGAACTCTCCTTCTTCTTTAGAAAGGAAACGAGCATTTTGAGGGCTGTCCGGTAGGTAAATATAGAAGACAATCCCATATGCAAAGGTGACGATGCCGAATATAATAAATATCCACTATACATAATTAGCTTCGACATAGGAAAATAGTATACCTATGGAATGCTTGATGGATACAGGACAACGTACCCTCCATGGTTCAACTGAGTTGCTGATATGGCCGATGCCATACGTTAACAGTCCACCAAAAATGGACGAAATGCTGTTTCCTGCAAACCAGATTCCATGTCTAGAGGCATGCTCAGACCGTTTGTACCATAGACCAGTGAGCAGGGACAAACCAGGGCTAATTGTACTTTCAAAAACCCCAAGGAGGACACGAAGGGATATGAGACCGGCAAAGTTGGATGTGGCTCCATGGCACGCTAAAACAACAGCCCATATAATGCTATAAATTTTATTGTAAGCTTGAGATACGAGGTCTGGGAGAGAGGAGTTGTCTTACGTACAAGGAAACAGAGAGGAATTTGGCGATTGGAAATTTGACGAAGCATAAAGATACCGGGTAGGATGCCACCAAGAAACCGAAGTAGAAGGCACTAGATGCCCATGAATATTGATCACTAACAAGATTCTATTTTCTCGCCGTCAGCAGTTATCCTTTGACACGATCCGAGATAAATACCAATGATTTTTGAATCCCAAAGATTGCAGTATAACCTAGTGCAGTCTTGTCGAGAAATTGCAGCATGTAGGCAGTGAACATGACGGGAAGTATGCTATAAAAGAGAAGCATGTCAGTATAATTCTGCCAATATATTGTTATGAAATGTATTTCATACTGCCAGTCAATTTTGCGCATCAATGCTTTCTCATTCTCACAATTAAAAAGCTCTGCCGCGTGGGATTTAAGCACATCCTTCTCCTCTCCCATATCCGGATCTGGTTTATGGTCTTCCATCATGCTTTACAATTGGAACTAGAATTGAAGGAAAGAGTAGAATAGTTATGCAAATGTAATATATCGCCTAGGGTATCAAGGGAGATACATATATGATTGAGCAAAGTCTAGATATTCATGGGCCTCTATTTGGTGGTAGTTGGCATCCAAATGTTCTATCAAAGCCTAGATAATGAATGTTATCCTATCCCTGTCTCTAGATAAGGCGTCAGAAGGCGCGATTGCCCCAGCCGGTGACGATGATATCTTCTGGGATTCTGGTTGGTCGTCGGGAAATTAATCTATAATGGACCCTCGCTTAGAGAGGGTGGATCCAACTATCCCATCTGGGGTTACCCGAGGAAGATGGACCCTAGAGTCCACGTATCAAGGTTAGATGATGTTAATGGAGGCAGGTACTACATGCATGTGAAGGTCGAACGATGCCAATTGCATCCCTTTTCTCTATCGCATATCTTCACCATAGCGCAATCATCAACATCAATGCTACCTTTCTTTCTGAAGTTTATACAATATTCCCGAAGTCAATCATTCGCGGCCCGTTTCCTGGAGCTAGCCATTAGGACGACCGAGCAGGGATGCCGGTGAAGCGTCATCATGTACGGAGTAGTCAAGGTGAAATTTAATCAACGCCATCCACGCGGCTTGCGGTACTATCACATGAAGCTACCCGTGGATAGTGTTCCTGGTTGTCTTAAGAAGGCGAATTCATGGTGACTCGAGGATCAAGTGAGAAGAGAAAGATTCTTCCAAAACCTGCTGCACAGAAAACATCTTCAATGACAAAAAGTCAGTCATAATTCGTGAACCAAATAACCCCTTCAATGCTCGTATTGTCTATATACCAAGGCGTTCAGCACATGCAAGACGGTACCATGCACGGCCAAGATCCAGACTAAGTAAAGCCACTTTACCTTCCTAGGCCGGAAACGATTCGCGTAAATCCTGACAACTGTATACCTTGATATCAAGTTAGGTTGATCGAGGTAATTGGCAAAGTGGCAGAGGCGGCAGAAGGAGAGAATATCCTGATGGCTTTCTTATCGACAACTCTTTCTTCCAGTCATAACAGTGAGAGTTATCAGGGTTGAAGAGGCAGGCCAGAAGCCAGAAATAACCCTGGATGTCTGAAAGGGGAAATATTAGTCTGTGTCTCACTTACCCCTCGTTATCGGCAGTTGATTGCTGGACTCAGATCTACCGACGAGCTAGTTAATCACGCCATTCACGTGCCTGCCATTATGGTCCGATATAAACTCCAGTATACTATTGGACCCGCATCCGGAATATAAAAGGCTATACTTCGATAGTTATGAGTACGATTTAGTATACTATTATCCACTTTTTTTTGTACTACCCCTATCACCATGTCGTGGGAATTAATTGCCACCACAAAGCGCCAGGCGCTCAAGGATTCAATCCCAGCAGAATGGGTGATTCCTGCTGCCATTTTCCCCCCTGAAGATCAGTTGGATGTGACCACTTTTCCTCGGGAATCCGGATTTTTCACTGAACGCGAATTGGAAATCACCTCAATTTCTGCTATCACGATCCTATCCCATTTATCTTCAGGGTCATGGACGTCAGAGGAGGTGACCAAGGCGTTCTGTAAGGCTGCGGCAGTAGCACAACAATTGGTATTTGTCGCCTGCAAATACAATATGAGCAATTTCTAATTTTCACTTAGACAAACTGCTTGTCGGAGATATTCTTTGGCAAAGCTATCGCGCAGGCTAAGGAGCTCGATGTCTACTTTCAGCAAACCGGAAAGACAAAGGGTCCCTTCCATGGCCTGCCTATCTCGCTTAAAGATAACTTCAACTATATTGGCTATGATTCAACTATTGGATTTACCTCTCTGGTTGATAAACCAGCTACCTACAATAGCACGATCGTCGATCTCCTGCTTGAAACCGGCGCGGTGCTCTACTGCAAAACTAATGTGCCAACCGCCATGATGATATCAGAGTCTGTGAACAATCTTTTCGGTCGCACGGTGAACCCCCAGAATCGTAATCTCACCACTGGGGGTTCATCTGGTGGAGAATCTGCCTTGATTGCGTTCGGTGGGAGTCGGCTTGGTGTCGGCAGTGACATCGGTATGTATCAAGTCATAAACGCTATCACGAAGAAATATGCTAATCATTCTACTAGGTGGCTCCCTTCGTATGCCGGCCGCCTGCACTGGCACCTTCACCATCCGCGCCTCTGCCGGGCGCTTCCCCAACTTCCGTTCGCGCGCCTGTCTGGAAGGCCAGGAATCTATAATTGGCGTTAGCGGTCCGATAGCCAAGACTCTAGAAGAGATCGTTTTCTGGTCTAGCACCATTATCGGCCTACAACCCTGGATCCGCGACCCGAAATGCCTCCCCATCCCCTGGCGCTCTGTGGAACTGAAGAAGTCTCTAAAAATCGGAGTCCTCTGGAACGACGGATTCGTTTCCCCGACGCCTCCTGTTGCTCGTGGACTCAAGGAGACCGTCGAGAAGTTAAAGGCAGCTGGTCACGAGATTGTCATCTGGCCGCCGACTGAACACATGGAGATGCTTATCACACTTGGGCGCTTGTTCCTCGCAGACGGAGGGAAGTCCGTACGGGATCTTCTCGAGCCTACAGGGGAGCCGTTCCGCTCGGAAATGAAGCCCTACGAGGACGCAAAGGAACTAAGCGTGCACGATCTATGGCAGATTCATGTTAAGCGCAACGCTCTCTGCAAATCTTACCTAGACCGATGGAACGAAGCTGGCATTGATGCTCTTCTAGGTAGGTCCATCCGCTCCAGCGAGGCAATCTTCTTTATTAACCAGGTTCTGTAGGTCCTACGACACCATACAGCAGCGTCGAGAACGGCAATTTTGCTTACGCCGGGTACACATGTGTCTTCAACCTGCTCGATTATCCGGCTGTTTCATTCCCCTGTGGTGCGAAGGCCGATAAATCGATTGATACACCATATACCGATCATCAGGCACTGAGTGATATGGACGGGAAGATTCAAAAAGATTGTTAGTGGCCCATACTTCAAGACTTGACGTGTTCAAATTCTAACAGTACTAGACTCTGCCGACTCCGTACATGGCATGCCAGTTAGTCTTCAACTGGTTGGCCGCAGACTTGAAGAGGAGAAGTTATTCGCGATGACGGATGTCATTCTTAAGGCTGCCGCTCTGTGAACATGACGAAACCTTACAACGCACTCGGTCATTGGGGCTCATAATGGAATCTTCGAATGACTGTCCTGGCGATAGTAGTAAAAAATTGTGCGCCATTCTAGTCGAGTGCCTGTTGTACCAGGACGAGGGCGACTGGGTGAGAAGTACTATTTTCGATTACGGAATCGTTGCCTGTCGAGATGCTATCATAACGAGGCTGGCAGCTCGTACGATTGTGGTCGAATCTATGATCAAAACTTACTACTTGCTACTTAGTTTTATTCTGGTAGTCAATCCAACTCCCTTGGGAGTGGAAGAAGGCGATGGATGTGTTGTAATTGAAGAAATCTGTCATGACTCGTACTATATATATCGGAGCCTGGAATGTCTGAGCGTAATGCTCAGATATAGTGGTCTTTTTGGCCTAGTTTGTAACTCGCCAGTCCAGCCCTGGGCAGGTTGTAACAAAATTGTTGTTTTTATGAGGGATCCAAGAGGCTATATATAATTTCCCGACCGACTTTCTGACTTTACCATCTTCTTATAATAGAATAAGAAAGGGCCTCAAATATCAGACTATATTTGAGTACAAGTCTACTTGCCGATATCCAATCCTAAGGTCGGATCGGCCCACTCCGATGAATGTCCTGATGTCCCCGAATCCCCCGCTTTGGCGGAAGTGTCCCGCCTCGCAGCCGCTTACCCCCACCATCTGCACGTACTTCCAAATCCAGAATCCTTTGGATAGCACTCCGTACTTCAACCTCACCGCTTGGAGTGATCACCGAGGGGATTCTCTTTTCCATACTGAACTGTTATACTCCAAATGTTCTAGATTCCCCCACATGGTTTCCACTTCTTGTTGCCCTCTCTTCGTCCACTATGAACTGTCTTATCCTCTAATCTCGAGATCCAATTTGTTGCATTAACCTCTACGGAGTAGGTAGACATCAATTTATCTCGGAATCTAGCATTACAGAATCAACATGTCTGTCGACACCTTAGCAGAAGCGAGTGAGGACCAACGAGCCTCGCTGACTTCCCGAGTCCTTCCTATGATGACTTTGTCGAAGGGATCAAGTCCTCTCACTCGGCCCCTCCCTCCAGTACCCTTTACATCTGCTCGCTCACGAGCGGAAGCGCGATTCCAAGTTCAGGGTAAAGCCATAGTCACCGGCGGAGCAGGAGCACTAGGCCTTATTTCTGCACAGGCTCTCCTGGAGCATGGACTCTCGTCGCTGTGTATCATGGATCTTCCCAGGACATTGGAGACATCAGAAGAACAGATTCAATCACTAGCATCGAAATTTCCATCTGCCAATATAACCAAAATCCCCTTAGACGTGACATCAATGGAATCAATTCAAGCCGCATTTGAGCAGGCAGAGAACACAATGGAAGGCATCGATATCCTCTGCTGCTTCGCTGGGATCCCCGGCTGCCAACCATCCCTCACAGTAACACCCGATCAGTTCAACAGAGTCATAGACGTTAACCTGAACGGATCTTTCTTCTGCGCTCAGGCAGCAGCAAAGCGTATGGAATCATCAGGCAAAGGCGGGTGTATCTTATTCACTGCGTCGATGTCGGCGCATTATACAAATTTTCCACAGCCGCAAGCTGCTTACAATGCGAGCAAGGCTGGAGTCGCGCATATGACTCGAAATCTGGCTGCTGAGTGGGCTGTTCATGGGATCCGAGTGAATAGTATTAGTCCCGGGTATATGGATACTATTCTTAATGCCGGTGAGAGCTTGGCGAATGTTAGGAAGATATGGGATTCTCGTTGTCCAATGGGCCGAATGGGAGATCCTGAAGAGATTACTGGGGCTGTGGTTCTTCTGTGTAGTCAGCGTGCAGGACGGTACATCACTGGTGCTGATATTGTTATTGATGGGGGGACTTTGACTCTGTGACAAGATATTGTCAATCTACATGATAGCCATGGAGCTTGCATCGAGTGCTTCCCTTCCTATTATCAGGTTGATGTCCCTGTGTCAGTTTGCTTCTACTTCTCGAATGGCAGTGTTTTTTTTAAGATTTGTTTGTATTTTTCATTTTCTAAATACAAAAGAGATGACACAACAGCTTCTCCATATCTTCAAAGCAAGCCCTCTTTACCGGCAAATGTAACCTCCATCAATCCGCAGATCCGCACCAGTAGTGTAAGTGCTAGCATCACTAGCGAAGTACACATACGCAGCCTTCAACTCCTTAGGGTCACTTTGACGACCCATAGGAATCAATTTGTTCCAGCCATCTTGAATATCCGCAGGCACAAAGTCTCCCAGTCCCGTATTAACGTATCCAGGAGAGATACTGTTGACACGAGCAAAGTCCCTCCACTCATTCGCCAGCGAGCGAGCCATGTGAATACAACCAGCCTTAGCAACATTGTATGAAGTCTGTTCCTGTGGGTAATTGACGATGTGGCCAGACATCGAAGCAGTGATCACAAAGCTTCCCTTGCCGTGTTCCTTGAAATGGGGGCCAACAGCCTTGGCACAGTAGAAGACCGAGTTGAGATCGGCCTGGATAATGGTCTCCCAGTCCTCAACTGAGCCGTCGAGAACACCAGCGTCGGCGGTGCGGCCTGCGTTGGCAATGAATGAGTCGATCTTGCCGAAGTCGGCGATCACGTTCGCGACCAGCTCTTCCACTTCGGTCCATTTCGATGTGTCGCATTTGTAGGCCTTGGCTTTGACGCCGTACTCCTCCTCCAGGGCCTTAGCATTAGCTTCAGCTCCATCGCCGCGCGATAAGTATGTGATGGCGATGTTGCCGCCCATTTCAGCACAGCCACGGGCTGCTTCGTAGCCGATTCCGCGGGCGCCGGATGCGCCGGTGACGACCACGACCTTGCCTTTGAGACTGAACAGGTCTTTGAGGGAGCTAGCCTTAGGAATTTCGATCATGGTGGGCTAGAAGGGGGAGATATTTATTTTGAAGATGGGTATAGAAGGGAAGACGGAAAGATTTGAGAATTGTTGGTTTGGATGATTGAAGGGCTGTAGAAGGATCTATGTATTATTTATACCTTTCGACCATTGACCGGAGGCTCGGATCCAACTTCCCACTGTGTACAACTTACGTTTCACTCTCCTCTGAGATGTTGTTGTCCTTCTCCACTCGGCGGGATACTCGGCGGAACAATGCCGCCACAATTTCTGTGGGGACTTGGGAGGGGATCTCTCAAATCATTCTTGATTTCAGTACGGAGCACGGAGTAGATTAAGCAAAGTTAAAAAATAGCAAACGCATTAGGGGGGCTAGCCACACCACCAATAACCTAGACCGACTCTGAATTAGCACAATCCCAACGCAGCGAACAATCAAGGGAACCCCACCTTCAAAGGCATGCTGGACAAGAAAAAGCTATAACGTCCACTGGTCTTGCAATGCTCCGATAACTTCTCCAAATCAAACATCTCTCCAATAGGAGTTCCCCAACCTGCCAGCACCCACTCATGCAAGTTGAAATTTGGATCCGCATGGGCACCTCTAATAGGCGCACGCTCAAAGCTCGGTGCGTCACCAGCGACAGCAGAGAACTGATGCTCCCATAACCACCGCACCATCCCCTCCGTCGCTTCAACGCCGCTAAAATCTGGCGATGATCGTAGTGCCAGGTCCTTTCGCTGCTGGTCGTCCAGCTTGTTGTATGCAGCCGTGAAGCCGCTGCGGATGAATAGAATGTCACCCTTTTGAAAATTGAGATTGCGATCTTTGACTACTCGTTTCAGGTTCTCGAGGGTGATGGCCTCGGATTCGAGGGCGGAGATGGAAATTGAGTTTGTGGTGGCCCATTCTGCGTAGTCGAGGAGGACGCCGCGGCCTGTTATTCCACCGTGCTCACATATAGCTATATGGGGAGTTTCGGTTAGCGCCAAGTTGACCGGGTAAGTATCTTGAAGCTGGTTCGTACAGTGAATTCCAATAATATTCGAGCTCTCTATCTCTTCTGTGGTATGTCCGTTATAGAACTGCCGGGACTTCTGGTTTGCTAGATGTCACCAAGTAGTAAGTAATCATCTCAAACTCAAGCCATAGACGCTCAATAACATACCATAATGTCTAAACCCATCCCATTGGGTAGACCCCTGGCTATTGAATGTCAGGATGTCATCATAAACACAATTTGGATTCCGAAGAACAAGCTCCTGCTTAAATGGATGGCGATTAAAGCTAGGGTGCGAAGGCATGCTCAACGGCCAGTCAAGAGAGATTCGCACGCCAGTTTGAATTTCCTTCGCGGCTTCGACAATCCGCTCAGGGGTGAGGAGGTTCAATGTCCCAAGTTGGTCATCTTTTCCAAATCGACCCCAGGCATTTCCCCGTGGGCCTGTTGGGTCTAATGGAAGGGAATCGAAAGAGATGACTGCGCTGCTGCTTGCTTTCGTCATGGTATTAGGTTGAAATTAAGATGAGGCCTGTGGCTTTTTCTCCCGGAATACCCGACCCCTCATATATGAGGCCCCAGATCCCCGGATTCCCCGCGCGCGGACATGAATCCGAGCGGCAATGTAGTTTCCCGTAGCTTTGAGGTATTTAGGCTATTCTTGCATTGATGTTCAATTTCATTGGAGCATTAAAGAGTTTTTTTTTTTTATGTTGAGGACTTATGATTGAGGAACATATGAGGTGTAAATATGTCAAGAAAGTCGATGCTTGGAAGTACCCGCGTCCCGCATAATCCAATCCCAATCCCAAACAAACCCCCGTCGCTCACTACCATCCCTTGTCTATCGCCGTATACTTCTTCATTGGCACTGTTGTGATGCAAAAGACACCCACAGAGGATCAGCAGCCGCTGAGCATGGCTGCACCACAGCAAAATCCCCCACGACCAGAGCGAAAGCGACAGGATCGTCCGCCCCATGAATCTCCATCTTGGCGTCCCTGTAACGCGAGAAAATGGACAGTCCTCCAGACCTCTACCAAAGGACGAACTGTGAAGAAATCTGCAAGCTTAGGCACAAAATACGAAAGGGGGATTGTTTGCGAGGTTGCTCACCCCTCAGCTCCTTCCATCTATCACCCATCCGAATTAATCTCTAATGGTCTTCCCCTAGTTCCATCCTGACAGCTTTGCCGCGCTACGTCGTGAATACTCTGTCCTATCCATTATTTCTCAGATTCCCTCCCCGATTGGCCACCCTCGCATCATAAGCGCCGATTTCCAATCTGGCGTCCTTGTGCTAGGCTCGCCAAAGGTCTACTGGACACCACTTTGGCGGCGTGTCAACGAACCAGTCCTTGATCTAGATTCATTGCTTCAGATGAAGCGCGAATTGCTCGACTATGTTCGATTGTTGTACATCAAAGGTGTTGAATATAAAGTTAAGCCGAACAATCTGTTTCCTATCAGAAAATCGGCTGGCGGGTGGTTACTATATTTGGGCGGGTGGGCAGAGACGGATTTCTGTTCGACACAGGATCGAATCCAATCACCTGAGTGGAAGGCACAAGAAAAAGAGCAATTGGATGAGGTAGAGCGGATGTTTACTGAACTCTCTGCTCGTGTGAATGAAAGGGATAAAGCCATATGTAAGGATGCGGTTAAACACAACGATCAAGGATAAGGAAAAGGTTTGAATGATTAATGAATTAATGAATTAATGAATTGAATAATTAATGCACGAATTGGAATGTCTTCTATTTTATCTAATGGAATTGGCGACAGATCACATAAAATCCATCGGCTTCAAGGAACAGACCACAGGGATCTACATTACGCACTCAGCTTAGTTTACATAGATCTTGAATCTGAAACTAGCATAGCATCGACATATGTACTGGATAATAGATGACACTTGAGACCTTTCCCTTCCACAAAAACCGTGGGACTCTAGAAGGTGAAGTATGCAATAGTAGCAGCATAGGTAGCCAGATTGTCGCCAACCGTCGCCAATGCAGTACCATCCTTCACAATCATATAACTTGTCCCAACAGTATTTAACCCATATACCACCAGTCCACTAGTACTGCCCTCAATGCTGAAAATCATGCTTTGGCAATTCTCCGGAAGGGGGAATGTGGAGCAAGTGGTGCTGTAATTGTTGAAAAAGCTGTATAGCCCAGCTCCGTAGATGTTGACATCCTTGGAATTGAGAATCCGAAGACCAAGGGCATTGCAGTTTCCGCCGAGACAGCTACTATAGTTGGGGTCATTGAGAGTCGAATTAGTGGGGTATGGGCCGTTGGCTGCGTTGGGATTTGGCTGGTAGTATCTGCGTGAAGTTGGTTAGGACAAGAGATACGTGGGCACTATCATGTATAGGATCACTTACGGCGTTTCTGTCTGTATGTAACCTCCCACAATTGAACTTGCGCCTGAGAACTGATACTGATACAGCGAGTGATGCTCGGATCCCGTTCCGTATCTTGCGCCGGTGTTAGTTATGAGAGAGCATGGTGGGGATTCTGTCACTTACAGCCAGACATTCTTTCCCTCTACCAGGAGACCACGGCCAGTATACACCGAGATCTGAGTATTGGTCGGGCTTTCGAGGTCATGATCGGCGGTCCACAGCCAAACATTCTCCAAGTAAACACCGCTGGCAACTTTGGTGATGTGCATGGACATGTAAGCAACCTGGCAGGCCGCAGAGACAGCTGCAGTGGTCGGGCACTGAGCAACCTGCTGGTTAGATCCCTGGAAGCCTCCAATTCGAGTGTGGACATCCCAAATCCCAGAACCCGACGTCGCCGCCAAGTTCCACTCAATGAGTACAGCACCCGGCGTGGAGCCCGAGGTGCTCACAATCATGTCAGACCATTCAACGAATCCGGATTCTCCAGATCTACCAATTTGAACCACAGGGATGGGATTGGTTATACTCGACCATACACTGCCTGTGGCCATGATGACAGAATATGCCTCGCCGACAATCCGAGAGCCCGGCGGGACATAAAGAGTGCTGGTAACTTTGTACGTTCCTTGATCGAAGAACACGATTTTGCCTGCAGACGCAGCAGATGTCAATGCGGATTGAATGGCTGTCGTGTCATCGGTTGAACCATCTCCTTTAGCACCAGCGCTTCTAATGCTGACAAACGAAGCTACTGGTGATTGCTCATACTGAGGCTTGGACTTGGTAAAATATCTGTTCGATCCACTAGCAAGCAAAGCGCTAGGACGTTTTGGTGCAGTGAAAGAACCTTGGAAGTTGGTCGGTCCGTTTGGAGTATATTTGTGGCCTTGTCCCCAAGCGCCAATGGTCGTGGAACCCGTCGAGCCAGCAAGGACAGTGCCGCTGACGCCTTTGACTGCAACTGGGACGTTCTTCAGATTTATGTTCTCCAGGATGAGACTCCCCGTTGATATTGTCGAGCTCTGCCAAGCGGTATCGACAAAGGTAGGGCAGTTTTCAATGGTGCTGTCAAGGATGTTGACTGAGCCAACGAGCTGGGCTCCAGCACCACCATTGTTGATTGAAATAGCAGTTGTGCAGTTAAACAACGACAGACCTTGATAAGTCCACCCCCAGTTCCAGATTTGGGAAATTGCGGTCACTGCGTTTGAAATGACCAAGTTCCGCATGGTGAATTGCTGGTTGCCAATATTGGCACCATAGAGACCACCAGTAATTACCACATCGGTCATCCAGCCGCCAGAGCCTGATGTTGCATTAGTATAAATAAACAAACAAGTTCAAGTGCCGGCATACCATTCTCAATGAAGATACCCTGGTGCTGAGTTCCAGAAGCAGAACTCATAGCAATGACAACATTCTCGATGCTAGAAGCTTGGCCAGTCGGCCAGTGAATACCAGTCGCAGCAGTACCAGCAGGGATTGAAGTCAAGTCCAATTTCAAATTGCGAATCTGTCTGAAGAAAACATTTGTCGACGTCCAGCCCTGGTTTCCATCGTTCTGGTATTGGTCGCCGTCAATCATCCCGAGTCCGACAAAACCTGCGGTTGCTTTTATGACGGGCATTGCATTCGGGTTTCCAATCAACTGGGTGAAATAGTAATCAATGATCGACGTTGAAATCAGGTACGTTCCTGATGGGAAGTAGACTATCGCGGGGGTCGTGGTGGAGGATTGTCTGCTTGCTGGGCCAAATCGACCACCGGCGCTTATGGCCGCATTAATGGCAGCCGTATCGTCGGTCACACCATCACCTATTACTACTTTAGAATTGATGAGTGATAGTAGTAATCATTGGATGCTCACCTTTAGCTCCGTAGTCTTTCACGTTTCGGAAGACTTGGTAGCCAGAGGGGTTCGAGTTGAAGGCTGCGACTCCTTGATGGGCGATGTCTGCTAGCCAGTACGCACTGTCTGCTGCTGCCGCTGCTGCAACGGCAGATTCGGCATTCACGGCAGCTTTAGTTCCGAAACTTATAGCAGCCGAGGCAATCTTTGTTGGAGCTAGACCGAAGGATGTATACTGCTCAAAAGGGAGCATGGCAGAACTGATTATATCATCCACAGCGGAAATCTCTAGCAGCTGTGCATTGGCACAAGCTAGCAAAGAGATATACTTGATCATAGAAGAATAATACATCTTGACCCTGAATCACTGAGTAGGTAAGTCAGCGAGACGGGTGCTTGTGAGAGCCGGGGAAACATGGCTTATGTATAGCCACCTGGACAATAGCCTCGATCGGATAATGCAGGCATGCGCATGACAGAAAAGGGATGCCTACAACTGCAGCTAAAAGAAAAGCAAATCCTGGAATCCCACCCCAAAATACCACTCGAGATGGGGAATAGATAGCGAGTGACTGCAAACCAGGGATATCCATTGGCTATTTATTTTCCGGGGAAGTCCATTTTCCCGTCACGCCGTGGTCTCTGTCGCATGATATGAAGGCGCCCAGGTGGAAATGAGAATGGGAACAAATAGTGGTGATCTTTCCCCACAAGAGATGAAGTTCCCTGCCTTTAGCTGCATGTCAGCCAATAGTCAATCGAGATCTGCACATCACATTGTCCAGTAGACCCAAGCTAATCTGCTAGTTTATCGTGGGTGCTTCCCGATAGGAATGGAATGTGACTAGTTGAGAATTCCATCGCAGCTACTTTTCGGAGTATGTGATATGTGACTTCGGGGTATGTGTGTGACTGGTTGGTAAGAGAAGAGAACCCACCGGCCCAGGTAGGCAATTATCCAGGGATTCATGCTCATAACCTTGAATTTTCAAGTGTCCTCCAGGGCTAAATCTGATTAACTTAAATGGAAATAAGGTCAGCAGACCCACGGAACACCACGCCCTAAGTGCGGGGAGACAAAACTGAAGGCTCAGGTACTTCTATCTTATAGGTCACAGTCACCTTTGTTCACCTTGACTCGGACTTTGAAATACTCAAGTGGCAAACTTAGATCGGTAGGTTTTTTTTAGTCACTTGCAAGGCGTGCAGCTCATCGTTCTTGGCCTCTTTTTCTCTACCTAGGAAATAGAATGTGCACATATATCACCAAAAGTCGCTTTATATATTTTCCGTTTCAAAGGGAAGGCTCGATGGTTCGGAACATCCGGCGGCACTCAAACTCACTAGCCAAATTTGTTATGCGCATATACTCAGACTCTCCCTCACACAACAGTATCCGTATCCTCTATATTCTTCTCGGGCTCCAGTGTGTCTTGTAGTATTGCTGAAGCGGATCTTTCTTCCGTTTGTCAAGGTCAGCGATATCAAGAAGTGACTGAGGGTTTATCTGAGCACAGAAACGTTTCGCTCCATCTCATGCTTCATTTGCTAGAGAAGATGAATGGATTTTCCCTCAAAAAAGACCATATCACATCCCCCTTTGTCCAATGCGGGTAAAACAATAGCTTGTAAAGTCCCGAGCATAGACCTTTGGATGCCAAGAGTTATCACGTGATTGCTTTTTTTCCGCCTTGGATGCTTCCTGCAAAAAGAAAAAAAAAATAATAGTCGTGCCTCCCTTCATTGCGTCGTGGGATATATCGGTATTCGAAGACAAATATCATCAAGGACAGCAATACGTCCTGGATCTGTCTTCGATCTCACTTCTCCCTACTCGAAAGCTCCTTCGTTGTGCTGACAGCTTCCTGCGCGACGGATCGCGAACGTGTCACGGAACCGCGAATACCACCGGACAACCACATCAAAGACGTTAGAGACAAATTGGGTTTTGCTCTCTCCACGATTGATAATCTTTAAGTGGAGGATAATCATCATCAAAGCTGTTGCTTTTCGAGTCGGTGCGGAATCGGAAAGAGCCTCGCCGCACACAGAAAGCTCCCTGCTTCGATTGCCGCAAGTGAGGAAACTCATCACGGCACCACACCAAGGTCCAGTATTGCATCGGATTTGATTTAGCGCTTTAAACCGGGTCACATAGATTCCGAAGGATACTAGGCAGCTCGCGCAGTTCGGGCTTGCAAGCATACAATCAACGGTGGTTTTCATACGGGCAATATGTTGAAACGTGGAGCTCAAGGCCCTCATGGGTCTAAGGAAGACGAGGGTGCTTTCGGGATGGCCAGTACCCCGGATGAAAAACCCCACCGGGCAACAGCGGCCCAGTTAGCCAGCAGAAAGTAAGTGATAACTGAAATTGCGGCGGATGACCACAAACTGACCGAAGGTCTCTTTGAACCCTCTAGGATTAAGGATGTCCGCAAACGCCGCGCTCCAACTCCCACAACCGGTGGAGGCGCATCTGATGCGTCTTCGTTCAACCCTTTTGCATCCGCGGTCCCGGCCGCGGCATCAGCACCTACCCAGTCGACTGGGTTCACATTTGGTCAGACTCAGAGTCAAAGCTTCCCTGGGGCAAGCTCAGGGCCTAGCCAGGGTGGGATTTTCTCGTCGGGCACTAACGGCCAGGCGAGTGGTCAGGCGTCGTTTGGGTTCAGCGCGGGCCCTACCTCATTTGGATCTGCACCGTCAAGCAATCCTTTTTCTGTAAACACATCATTCGGCGGAACTTCCCAGTCAAGTACCAATGGATTCAACTTTGGGGGATTCAATGCCGGAAACCAATCCGCTCCGTCGTTCGGTGGATTCGGAGCACAACAGAACACAAGCACTCCAGCAAAGCCCACCCTATTTGGGCAGTCTGCCGCACATATCACTTCGCCTGCCGATGACAGCATGCAAACTTCGCCTGATACCAAGCCCAAGGGAGCTTCCATGTTCTCACCGAAGCCAGCCGCAGGTCCCTCAGCACTTAGCAATCCATTCTCGAATCTTTCGGGGCAGAATGCTTCCAGCAATCCATTTGCACCAAAGACAATTGCAGCTGAGAAACCAGCCGACAAGCCTGCGGAGACCCAGCCTTTCAAGCCACTTTTCGGGTCAACGCCCGCCGCTTCAAAGCCTGCGGATGCAGAGAAACAGCAGCCGACAGCCAGCAATCCATTTGCAAACCTGTCAGGGCAGGCTTCAACCAGCAGCACTAACCTGTTTGCCCCGAAGACAACGGCAGCGGAGCTAATTCCTGCGAAGCCCGTAGAGGCGGCAAAGCCTTTTGGTGCTCTTTTCGGGTCGACCTCCACTTCTCAGCCCTCGGGGCCTGCTGGCAATCTGTTTGCGCCCAAGCCAGCGGCAGAAGAGCCGAAGGCAAGCAATCCGTTTGCGAACCTATCAGCGCCGAGTTCATTTGGCGCTTCGTCCTCACCGAAGGTTACAGAGACCGAAAGTTCTGTAAAGGCTGCCGAAGCACAACCGTTCAAGTCCATGTTCGGTACACCTGCAGCATCGAAAGTTTTGGAGGCTGGAAAGGAACAGACGGCTGCGCCAGCATTTGGGAACATTTTCTCGCCAAAGCCAGCCGCTGAGAACGCAGCTGCAAACCCTGCAGCGGACCAGCCGTTCAAGTCCATGTTTGGTACACCTGCAGCATCAAAGGTTTTGGAGGCTGGGAAAGAACAGACTGCTTCGCCGGCATTTGGCAATATGTTCTCGCCAAAACCTGCTGCTGAGAGTACGGGTGGAAAGCCATCCGAGGACAAGCCGTTCAAGCCCATGTTTGGAACACCTGTGGCTGAGAAGGAACAATCAGCAGCGAGTAGTGTTTTTGCACCGAAGGTGACAAGTGAAGGGCAGACTCCTGTACCTGCCAAGACCTCACAATTCGGCTCAATGTTCGGGGCGTCTCCTGCACCGTCGAAGTTTGGAGAAGAAAAGACAGCCCAGGTGACACCTAGCAATCCATTTGCGACCCTGTCAGGGCAGAACGCGTTCAGTAGTCCATTCGCGCCAAAGCCGACAGGACAGGCTGCAACGCCCCAAGCACCGAGCACTTCTCTCTTTGGTGCAAGCACAGCAGTTGAGATCAATAAAGACAACAACATCGCAGCAGCTCCGAATGGCTCATTGACTAGCCCATTCACCGCTGGGCCTAAGGTGTCAAATGAAGCTCAAACGGAAGGTGCGACGAAAACTACCACACCTCATGTGTCGTTCGCGCAGTCTCCACGCGACAATAAAAACTCGTCTTGTTTACCTGTCTCCTCTTCCTCTTCCTCTCCTCTCCCCTCTTCCTCCTCAACTTCTACTGTTTCCAACACTTTCACTGCTTCAGACCCTGACAGTCTTTTCCCTCGACCTGATAATCCTGTGTCAATTGAATATCCTGTATCAACTGAAGATTTTGACGCCATGCCGCTCAAACGTCTTTTCCCCGAGAAGAATCGGGAAGAGCTCAGGGATCGAGCCAACTTGCTCATGAAGATTGGCGTCTTGACTGAGTCGTTCAAGCGTGAGGTCGCCAAATGCGATCCCATGACAGATGATATTGACGAAGTCCTCATTCTTTACGCTGAAATTCGCCGTGAGCTTGGTGTTCCCATTGGGTCAACCAACCCTGAAGAAGATGCCAAACGCCCTGCCACCAACAAACCCGATGCCCCCAAGAAAGCGACAGATGGCAACGCGCCTTCTCAGGTTCCTACCCCGCCGGCATTTGTGCCTCCTGCTCTTAATGATAGACGCCCAGCACCTTCTAACGGGCCTTCTGGCGGATCTACTACTTCCTCCAAGTTCGCGCAATCATTCTCCGCTCCGGCTCCGGTAACTACTTCTGCTGGCGCTTCTTCCGCCTCGATTGCTGGTCCTTCATCTCCGGCCGCGGTTCCTGTTTCCGCTGCTCCTGTCGCTCCGACTAAGCCTTCTCCTCCCACTGCCAGCCCTGTTGCCACTCTTGCAGCCCCCCCTGCCGTTGGACTTCCCAAGTTTGGCGATGCAGCCACTTCAACCACTACCTCTGCTATTGGAGCCCCTAAGTCTGGTGGTGCGGCTACTTCGACCGCCGCCCCTGCTTTCCAAATTCCCAAGTTTGATGGTGCGGCCACTTCAACCGCTGCCCCTGCTTTCCAAATTCCCAAGTTTGATGGTGCAGCCACTTCAAATGCTCCCTCTGCTTTCCAAATGCCCAAGCTCAGTGGCCAAGCTACTGGCGTCAATTTTGGCGACCAGTTCAAATCACAGTCGGACAAGACCCTCGCTGATGCAAAGGCCATGAGAAAGGCTGCAGAGTTTGACTCCGATGAGGAGGATGAGGCAGAGTGGGAGCGCAAAGATGAGGAACGCCAACGCGCGAAGCGCGCTGAAATCGAAGCTGCAGCTAAGAAGCGTGCCGTTTTCGTTCCCGGTGTGGGTTTCAAGTTCGCTGATGATAACACTGAGGAGCCTGCTACATCTGCCGCCCCTGCCACCCCTCTACAGGATGACTCTGCAGGTACTATCACTCCCACCCCTGATATCTTCCCTCCCTTTGTTACTCCCTCGACCGCCGCTTCTACTAGACCAAACGGTACTCCCTCTGTGTCTTCCTCAAAACCCCAACCCCGGTTCCCCACATCATCATCTCCTCAATCTTCTGAATTCTCGACTCTCGTTGGAACAGCCCAGCGTTCGCCTGCAGATGCCGCACTCTTTGGGGGGAAACCTGGATCCCCGCCTCCTCTCTTCGGTGCATTTGGTGCGGGTCCTCCTAGCTCCTCTATCGGCTCATCGGTTTTCGGATCATCCGCTAAGCCGGTCCCAGCCTCGCAGAACATTTTCGGCGGGCTCAAGCCGACCTCACCGAAACGCAAGACCTCCGCAGATGAAAGTGACAACGACGATGATTCCCCCGCAAAGAAGCCGATGTCCTCTCAGAACATTTTCAGCGGGTTCAAGCCAACCTCGCCCAAACGCAAAGCCTCTGTTGATGGATGTGACAATAATGAAGATGATTCCCCCGCAAAAAAGACGAAGCCGTCGCCTCCCCCTTCTTCTGTTGGCGCCAGTATGTTTGGACGGGTCTCCGCTGCACCGATGGCTCCTTCGACCAATTCCTCCCCACTGCCCGTGATGTCCTCCACTCCCTCGGCCCCTGCTACTGACCCCATTTCCACCTCCACTGAAGATGAGGACGGCGAACCCGGTGAAATTTTCGATCTGACAAAGGGCAACGGCGGCGAAGAAGAAGAAACTGTTGTGTTTGAAGACAAATCCCGGGTTTTCAAACTTGAGGATAAGTGGTACGCCAAAGGAACCGGTCCCGTCCGCCTTCTGAAGCACCCTGTTACTGGACGTGCGCGGATTGTTGCCCGTGCCGACCCGAGTGGAAATGTCACCTTGAATATTCTCCTGAAGAAAGAGTTTGACTACAAGCTCACCACCAACAGTGTCCAGTTCCTGGTCCCCAACGAGACTGGGGAACTCAAACATTGGGCCGTTCGAGTGAAGGGTGAGAGACTGCAAGAGTTCCACCAGCTGATCAACGAGATCAAGAACTAGATATCTCTCTATCTCTTCTCCATATCTTTTCCATCTTTGTCCTCCCTTTCGGGAGTGTATGTTTATGTCCAAGCGCATGGCCAAGGTTTGCATATGCGTTTTCTGCCTTTGTGGTTCGGTCTTCTTTTTCGATCTCTTGCTTTTTGTTGTTGTTTTTTGGTGCATCGACCCCCAACCCCCTTGGACGAAGTTAGCCCGGCTTCACGCAGTGGGCCAGCTTCAAACCCAATGGCACCGGTCTCTTTTCTTTTGAACCCAGTTAGAGCCCTGGTGAGTATCTCCCTGGGACCACGGGCTCCAAGTCAGACGAGGTTGGCCCGGCTCCACGCAGTGGGCCAGCTTCCCAATGCCATTTGTCTCCTTTCTTTGAGCCCAGTTCGGCCCCGGTTGAGTATCTCCCTGGGCATACCACGGGCTCCTAGTCGAATTTTCCTCTTTTTTTTTTGTGAAGATAATGGGGTCTACATTGTATTTCTGTGAAAGTGAATAAAAATTGATCTTTTTTCTAATTTAAATATACCGCTCTGTAATAGTTTAGAGTAAATCTAACTGATCCAACTAACAAAGGCCTGTAGACCCTGAGGCTGATTTTCGAGGCCCGAGACCCCGGTAGCGCCTAAAAGGGTTGAACTAACTCTCGCCAAGTCAAGAACTAACTTTCCTCTCCAGTTCTCCTACTTCTCTTTCAATTCTCCTTTTATTTTCTTCTGCTTCTTGGCTGTCACTCGTTAAATTTACCCCAATCACTCATTCACAATCCAAAATGAAACCCATCACTCTTTCTTTCCTCCTAGGCCTCGCCAGCCTCACCACAGCCCGCACCGACCTAGAAGGCTGCGTTTCCTCGGAAGTCATATTCGACCACTACTACGCCAGCTACCTCTGGTACGTCCCAGACAGCGGCGAGATTTGCTCATTCCTTGACTGCGGCGGCGGCCGCGCACCCCCAAAGACTACCCAACCAGGATGTCCACAATACACCGGAACCGCAACGCTTACTCCCGACTACCTGGAGGGCTGGGGGCCCAATGGCAAACAGGCTGCCTCTACAAGCACCGTGGCATCGACTGCTTCGTCGACTACTGATATTGTGCTTGCTTCTGCAACGCAGACTTCCGAGTCATCGGACTCGTCTTCCGCGTCGTCTTCTTCATCCCCGTCCGGCACTCAGACTGCTGATAGCATGATCACCGATGCTCCCTCTAGTCTTACGGCGGTTGCTTCCTCTTTGAAGATTTCTACCTCATCGACCTCGAACACTGGTAACGCTACTTCGACTTCCGCTGCAGCGACCAGCTCGTCCGCTTCCAATGCTGCTACTACCCCCGCCTCCAACGTGGCTGGTATCATGGCAGTGATGGCTGCTGTGATCGGGGTTATGATCCTATAATTTTAATTTGATATGTACTCATATATTGTGAGAATTGGACGAAACTTACCTTTTGGGAGAGGAGACAGGATGGAGTCTCGATACACAGTTCGAAATGCGACCGCTTGTAGAGATTTCCCAAGCCAAGTCCCCTTCTCGGCAATGCACAAGCCCACTCCCTATGTAGCACATAGCACCACTACCAGAAGACGAAAGAACAGTTTGAGCCGCATCGCCGATCTACGAGACCCGCCCTCTTAGCGCGACCCAGACCTGGGGTGCTCTCCACATCATGTACTTTTAAATCGCGGAGATAGCGCGTGGGTGTTAGCCCAATGACTCAATCTGCGATTTTTGGCCATCCTAATTGAAGTCACTAGCGCCGGAAACATGGCTTGAAGCATGGGGTATATGGGAGTTGGTATTGAGGTGAAACCACGGCGTGTGTTTTTTTTTCGCGATAAACGAATCAAAATAGTGCTACATGTAGTAATTGAGGTAATTTATTTAGTTCTATCGATCCTTATATTTAGAAATAACTCATTATAACATTGAGGTATGTACAAACAGATGGAAATCCCCGTTCAGTCACCCACAGTGGGCGCCTAGACATAACCGAAAATTGACTACATATATTGTCCATATATCGGTGGAATTTCACCAAAAGGAAACAGCACATCGAGGGGACAATCCATCATGAAATCGTAGTCCATCGGGGCAACAGTGGTGAGCAGGGATTTCCGTTCCAGTGCCTCTTTTCTCTGCCGATGCATATTTTTGATCATTTGCGCGCGATTTCTCATCCTTCCAAATATCTCCGGCGACTCAATAGACTTTGAATCTTTTGCAATGGCCTGTTCGAAGACTGGACGTTCTTCTTCGAGCTTGCGAGCTATACTATCGAGGGTCTGGTCGAAGTCTATTATGCTTTCGACGTATGCTCGATCCCATCCGGGGTGATCATAGAGAGAAAGCTGGGACAGAGTGACGATTGCCTTTCCAAATTGACACATCATGCTGAACGGGAAGAAAGGGTAAAGGGCGGATGGGAGGGAGAGGATGTTTTGGAAAAAGGAAGTTGTCGCTTCCAGGCAGCGGAAAAGTAGATCCAATTGCATGAGAGGATGATCGCCGTAGTTGGTCTTGGGGATCTCGTTACTGAGGGAAATTCGATAAAGATGCATCTCCAGTGTGTTGTAATGAATCTGTAAAATGGCTGTCTTTGTTGTCAGATCATTTGTTAAATTGTGCGCAAAGACAATAGCACAACTCACCAGAGTTGGGTGACTCGCTCGGTATGCGAGCTTTAAGTTGCTTAAGCTCGGCCTCAAGCCATCGCACGCTTAGTCCAAGAGGCGGAGGCGCTGATGAGACTGATGAAGGATGGAGCTCGGTGTTGTACAGTGTGTAGTGAATCCTTTCTGCAACGTTCATCAATCGGACTAGCTGTACCAGAAAGTTATCGGTAGGATATTCTGCGATCTGATCTAGGACATTGCAGCATTCGTCTGTGTATTTTGTAAATCGAATAATCGGGCCCAAGTCTTTCACACATGTCGAGAGCCTTTGAAAAATTAGCTTACGTCCAGCAAGACGAACGGTACACATACATGGTAGTTAGATAGTAACACCCAAGGTAGGTGCGTCTCTCTTCCAGTGTGCGAACCGGATTATGACGGTCCTCATTCGTAGTATCCTTCAAATAGGTCAAAGGGTAGTTCAAGCTTTTCTGGTAAGCCATCTCTTGATTTAAGCCTAAGCTGAAGGATTGCGCCACGAGCAAGTGTACATTTGTATCAAGCTGGGCAGTGCTTCGAACCAAATGTTGAGGCTCTTCAGGTTTAGGCCCTTTGGGGGGTTGATCAGCAGGTCGCGGAAAACGACTGACTGAAATGAACCAAGCCACATTGATAAGAAGGCCCTGGAGCAGATCCAGGCCATGCTCTCCTTTTATGACGATGTGCTCGGCGATATATTCTTGGACTGCATCCGCAATTTCTCGCTGGCGTGGGGCATTTTGGCACGCGACCATTGAGATATTCAGGTAGAGGAATGGTTTCTCTCGGCGTAGCTCCTCTGCAGTGACTTGCGGGGAGATCATGAGGAAAGGAAAGAGAGGGAACATTTTCTGGAAGAAGACTTCCATCAACAGCTGGCCTTCGGCTTCATCAGGGGTAGCGGTGTTCTGTTCAAACGTAGATGATGATCTCGTTGCTTGGCCACTTTCTAATCGTTCTCTGACATTTTGTTCCGAGGCGGCCAGCAGGGCGACCATGCGGTCTAGTTTTTCCTCCAGTGCAGCAACATCTCTAGCTAAAACGTCAGGGGTCTCTTGGGTGAGGTTTGATAATGGTGAACACTTACGAGTCACTGGGGGTTGATTTCTTTCCACGACGATGGGCTCCGGGTAATTGAATTCCACATTCTTTTCCCAAGCGACGACAACTGAGAAAAGTTAATATGTATCAAGTATAAAACCACCTGTATACTCACCGTTTACAAGGACCATCGGTTTCCGGGAAGCATCGTACCTTGGCCTTGGCACAGGTCATGCATGCTTTGGGGTGACGGGTGCCAGCTCCGTCCTCCATGACGTCCTAGCATACATATGTAGCTGTATGTACCGGTGCCGCTGCTTTCTAGAAGCGCTTTAAGTCCTTTTCACTAAGTATTTCACAGGGTGATTACTTAGTGACCTAGATTCTTCCAAGGGTACTTTGGTGAACTATGATAATACTTCGTGAACGCCCAGCCACTTGCCTGGGCGCTAGTGTGATTAGTAATTTAGACGCTTACATAAGTCTTAGTGGGCTACTCCCACCTCTTGTTCAATTGAGATATGGCATTTTTCATCTTTTATATTAGCATGGTTCGAAGCATATACCAAAGCACTGTTAAGCTAGTACAATTGTAAAGAGCTTAGCTAGTGGCAGGTGTACCTATGGATGCTTGACTTCGATAAGGCTGACCAGCTTTACCTAGGTCAACTGGTTGGTAAATGAAGCAACACCACACTCATTAAGGGGTTGTCCTTACAGACAAGAGCTCGTAACAATCCAGAGAGTGGACGATAAAGGCAATTTACAGCTATCTCGGTCCATTCATGGGAACTTGGTGGCACAGTCGCACGCGATTGACAACACTAGAGTTCAGCTTGCGCTTTGGTATCTTGGTGTACTTGCAGCTCATGATGAAGGGAGAGCTATGATTCTACTCGTTTAATCCTAATGAGAGTGCAAGTGGTGTCCTGAATACTAGGAAAATCAATATTATTGCCTATATAAATGGAATATCATATAAAGAACCTGGAAAGAGGCCTAAAATACCACTTGGTGTAAGCTTCTTTGAGAGTATGTAGCTGTAACGTCATCTCCCAATCTCTAATCGGGGGAAATTGCCCCTATTTGAAGCCAAACAAAAAGTTCAGACGTATCTGCACGGAATTATTTAGAAGTATGTAGAATTTACTCAAGATAGACATCAAGTATGAACAATTCGAGCGAGTAATGTCGCGAGACTGCTTATCGGCGAAATGACCGTCCCCGCAATTCGCAACCGCTCCGATATCATTCCAGTCCCCCTCATCTCTTCTTCCTCACATTCACAACCATGGCTACCTTCTTGAAAAAGCCTCTCAAATTGGCTCTTGTCCAGCTCGCATCAGGTTTGAATCCCTAGGATAGCCCACGTTTTCGGAGCTGACCGACCGAACTATCTAGGAGCGGACAAGGCCGTGAACCTCTCTCATGCTCGGAGTAAGGTCCTCGAAGCTGCAAAGGCTGGCGCAGGATTGATTGTCCTCCCCGAGTGCTTCAACTCGCCCTATGGCACGAATTTCTTTCCAAAATACGCCGAGACCCTCCTTCCCTCTCCTCCCACGGCTGAACAATCGCCCTCCTTCCACGCCCTGTCGGCCATCGCCGTGGAGGCAAATGCATACCTTATTGGCGGAAGTATTCCCGAGCTGGAGCCTTCCACCAAGAAGTACTACAATACCTCGTTGGTCTTCTCGCCGACGGGCGCCTTGATTGGCACTCACCGCAAGACGCATCTGTTCGACATCGATATCCCGGGCAAGATTCAGTTCAAGGAGAGCGATGTACTTTCCCCTGGCAACCAGTTGACAGTCATTGATCTCCCGGAGTATGGAAAGATCGCTCTGGCCATCTGCTACGATATTCGTTTCCCAGAGGGAGCGATGATCGCCGCACGCCAGGGCGCTTTCCTCCTCGTCTACCCGGCGGCCTTCAACACCACTACCGGTCCTCTGCATTGGTCACTCCTTGCTCGTGCCAGAGCTGTTGATAATCAGTCATATGTGGCGCTCTGCAGCCCGGCGCGTGATCTAGATGCCGCCTACCAAGCCTATGGTCATAGCTTGGTTGCTGACCCCAGCGCAAAAATTCTCTCCGAAGCCGAAGAGAAGGAGACTATTATTTATGCTGACTTGGATAACGATTCAGTTGCGAACATCCGCAGTGCAATTCCTATCTCCACCCAGCGACGATTTGACCTTTACCCCGATGTGAGCGCAGGCCAGAAGTAATGTGGGAGGAATTTGGGAGACTGAGGGATTTTTGTTAGAGCCTATATCAAAGTAGCTAGAGATCATAGTTTGAACTGCTTGAATGTTCACGACAACGTCATTAAATCAACCCTGCAAGGGAAGTATGAATTTGATAGTTGAATAAGGTGGTTATTGCCTAAGGCATCAGGATCCACAACTAAGACTCCATTGGCTGCGTTATAGCCCCACTCCGCCCAATCAGACCCCGCACAGGCAAGCGAGACCACACTGAATTTCACTCGAAAATCGACCGCGAATTCTCCTTCTGACAATCGATCACTTCCGCCCACCGTCGACCACCCCTTCAGTCAGTCTTCTCAATCACCACTCCGAATTACCCCTCTAACCTTCTCCGCAGAGATGTCCAACGTCAAGACCGGCAACAAGCGCTCGGCTATCGCCGATGTGGTGTCTCGCGAGTACACCATCAACCTGCACAAGCGAGTATGTTGAACACAAACCCTTTCCCAGTCTACCTGCGACGATTCGAATACGATTCAGTTCTGGAGGCATATAATGGACAGAGAACAAGAAACTTTTCCTGTAAAATGGAATTTGTTACGGAAAAGAATGTGTGTGGTGTGGGTTGGTGTGTGTGTGCGTCGAGGGTAGAATGGGAAACCAATCCCCTCGATGCCACACCACCATCCTCACCATGACCTGTGGAGAAATCTGCAGGTAGGACATGGCACTTTTGTCTTTTGTCTGCTTCGCGATAGAGACAGCCGAGAGGAGATCTTGAAAAAGTCTTCGCTCGCATCCACACATATCCGCACCCGGAACACAAAAGAAGAATTAGTTTTATGAAGTCCACTATGGCCGAAAGACCAGAAACATTCATCGCGCAGAGTTTTCTCTAGCAGATGGCATTCGGGCGGAAGACTGATTGCAACTTCTTTTCCGGAATTATAGTGCCACGGCGTCAGCTTCAAGAAGCGTGCTCCTAAGGCTATCAAGGAGATCCGCGCCTTCGCTGAGCAGGCTATGGTAAGTTTGAGCGATGCTCTTCATCTCCCCTAACCCTACTGGGGAATCAGTTCGCTAACATGCTCAACTCATCAATAGGGCACCAAGGATGTCCGCGTCGACCCCCAGCTGAACAAGAAGGTCTGGGAAGCCGGTATCAAGGGTGTTCCCTTCCGTCTCCGTGTCCGCATCTCCCGCAAGCGTAACGACGAGGAGAACGCCAAGGAGCGTCTTTACTCCCACGTCCAGGCCGTTAACGTCAAGGACCCCAAGGGTCTCCACACCACCACCGTCGATGACGCATAAGCGTGTCGCTTCTCGTTAGCATCTATGAGTCCATGTTCCCAGCTGGGGTGTGGTCGGGGTTTTACAAAATACAAAATACCTTTTCCCTTTGGGGCTTCCTTATACGTTTGTTCTAGTATTGTAGTATTAGTTCCACTGTAGTCGGCATGTTCTGCAGCATCAAAAGCAACACAACACCACACAGTTGTTTCAAGGTCGCTCAATTTCAATACCTAGTTCTCCACTTTCAAGAGCCTGGTCGCTAACCTATGTACTAGTTCGTGCTCGGCATCAGTACATATCAATGTGGGGCTCGGGGGGCTTCATGCAATCAAGTACCAGATCTCTAGAAATGATCAGATTCTTCACGGTACCTGTTGGTTTCTGATCACTGTCATGCCAATGGTGCAAGTCAATAATCCAATTAGGGCAAGGTAGAGAAGCCGTCCGATGAGTCGATCAAGCATGCATTTAATGACTGTGGGCCGAGTCAATATTTGTGTATCGTCTTTGTTCTACTTGTTCGACAATGTTGGACCCATCGGGCTTGCATGCAAGGTGCTTGTGTGGCTATGATACCCATTTAATTTCATCAACATCCCCTCGCCTGCACCCATCATGAGATATCGAGCTCTCAGCTGCCATGGAAGCCTTGGCCTCATGTTCAAGGCCTCGATAGCAAGGAGACCCATATCTACTGGGACTTTTACCATCACTTCCTCCGGATTGTTGTATCTTGTCGCTGCGTTTAAGGGTCAGACTCACTTAAATGTTCAAGCCACAGTCTTCTTGTTTTGTTTGATATCCTCCGTCTTTGTCAGAGCGTTACTTACGAGGCTACAACTAGCGCTAATAGCCTTTTACTCCAAATCAATATTTGTTCCTTTTATAATATCTTCTTATTCGTAGCAAACCTTCTTAGTGTACTCTTAAATTTGTCTTCTGAAAGATTGGATACAATAAGGCTCTGTCTAATTGGGTTATTGAAGTTAAATCATCAATCACCAGTCCTATAGTTGAAGATGATTGGGAAAGAAAAGGTAGTCTTTCTTAGCTGATCCGGTGCATGAGTCCTGGCATGAAGCAGATGGGATTGGCAAATTAAAGGGGAAAAGACAATCACATAAGAATAATAGCAGAAGTATATGGACAGGGAATCTAAACAAAGAGGAATATAGGTCAGACCTCCTACCGGCGTCTAGTATATATATATCTGTTCTAGTATAAGCGGAGGAGGAAAGGTCCAACAAGGAAGCATATATGCAGCTACTGCGTTTATTATCGGCTTTTACTCATGCCCATATAGCTAGATAACATTAAAGGCAATGAAAATCAAAACCGAGAACTGACGTTGAAACAGCAAAGCATCGAAGACCGTAGAAGCTAGGGCGGTGAGCGAGAGCTCCCCAAACTGCCGATGTGAGGACATCATATCAGCTCTCTTGCAGTCCGCATCAACCATCAACATCTTCAATTCCGTCCGAGTTTACCTATCTTTCTCTCTTGATCCAGCATACTGTTCTCTATCAGTGACTTCAACTTAAACCGCATCCAAATCTCCACCATGGAGTCCAAGATCCCCGACTTCTTGCTCGAGCAGCAAGCACAAGGAAGCCCAGAGACACAACCCTACTTCCTCACCTTCGAAGATTACTGGGAGCGCAAACTATGGCACCAGCTTACAGACTCGTTGGTCGAGTTCTTCCGCATGCCAGAGAGTGCTCCGCATCGCTTAGCCCTGTTTAAGACATTCGTGTTCAGTTTCGCCGACCGGGTCAACCAGCTCAAGTTTGTGTCGTTGGGGTTGATGGCAGCAACAGAATGCACAGGTTGGTGAACCACAGTCTAGTCTGGAAGCTCCAAAATCTACCATGATGAGGATTCCGTTGCGTTGATGCAGGCTAACCATTTCCCTCTAGATGACCAAGAACGACTGGCTTTCCTCACATCCCTCGCTACCAAGACGGATACTGCCGATACACAGGATGCATATGTCTATGCGCTTGCTGACGTGGCCAACGTCAAGCTGTCGTTGAAGGACCTGGACGGAGCACAGACAGACCTAGCCACCTGCCAGCGGGTGCTAGACACCTTCGACTCTGTCGAGACCGTCGTGCACGCATCATTCTACAAAGTGAACGCGGACTACTACCACGTACGTGACTAGCAGAATCCTGTCTTTAGTCAGACATGGCCATTCAAATTAAAACTAACACTCTCCAACAGTCTAAGCAAGAATTCGCCTCCTTCTACAAAAACGCCCTCCTCTACCTCGCCTGCATTGACCTGGAAGAACTCACCGAGACCGAGCGCGCATCGCGCGCCTACAACCTCAGCGTAGCGGCCCTGGTATCAGAGACGATTTACAACTTCGGAGAGCTCCTCCTGCACCCGATTCTGGACTCGCTGACCCAGACCCCGCACAACTGGCTCCGCGAGCTTCTCTTCGCCTTCAACCGAGGTGACCTGACTGCTTATGATGTGCTGGCCGGTAACATCAGCAAGAACAAGCTGCTGGAGTCACACCGGGTATTCCTGTACCAGAAGATCTCGCTCTCGGCACTGACGGAGATGGTCTTCCACCGTCCCCCTCACGACCGCTCTCTCTCCTTCCAGGCTATCGCGTCCGAGACTAAGGTGCAGCCGGATGAGATCGAGCATCTCGTTATGAAGGCTTTGTCGCTGGGTTTGCTGCGTGGATCTATTGATCAAGTTGCCCAGGTTGCACAGATCCACTGGGTTCAGCCCAAGGTTCTGGATATGAAGCAGATTGATGGCATGCGAAACCGTCTTAAGGAATGGGATGCCGGTGTTAACCAGCTCGGTCATTGGATTGAGGGGGCTGGCAAGGATGTTTGGGCTGCATAGATGTCTTATCTCACTTGTGTTCTGATCAGTTCCATTATAATGAATACAATGGTGTCGTCTTCTATCGTGATTCTAGTAACTAGTATATTTGTAATTCTTGCAATATGCATGGATTAATTCGACTCTACATATCTACTTCATTCATAATTCAAAGCTAAGGAAGACATTAATATAGCCTACTATAACAAATCAGAACAATCTCATTTCTTAAACAAAATATATACACAACCCTCCAAATCCCAGCCCTTAAACTCCATTAATCGAACACTGCAAAGAAGCAAAATTAGGCGTATCAATCCCCGTCCTATTATGACAACCCTTAGGTTGATAATACTGAGTCACATGATCAAAGCAATCACAATCAACCTTACTGAAGGCAGAGCAATACCCATTCTTGAGGATCCAAGACTGAGGTTTCATAAGCTTGCTCGAATCACAACTACTCCACGTGAAGCCATCATCGGTCCACCATTTGCAGGTAACGCCCGTCTCGGTGAACTTGCTATTGAGGCCACCGTGGAGGTTTAAACAGCCCTTGTTGTCGAGGAATTCTTTGTTATACCCCTCGAGGTGGTAGTAGTCCCCCTCGCAACCCATTTTACTGTATAGTGTGATCTCCCAAGGTGCTGTCCAAGGGGATTGAGATACACTTGGTTCAGGGGCTGCTTTTGCTTTTGTTGTAGTAGAAGATTTGGTTATTGTTGTGATTTTCGTGGCCTTAACGGTGGTAGTATTGGACTTGGAGTTGGGGTTGGAGGTAGGTTTTGAGCCGGCAGCGGTGTTGACAGACTGATTGGCTCCTCCTGCCTTTGTATTGCTAGAAGTTTGGGATTTCGGAGCCTCTGTGGCTCCTTTCACGGTGGCTGTAGGACCGGCAGGAGGTGCGCGGCAATTTTGGCAATATATATCGGTGACACCACATTGGCCCCAGAAAGCACACTGTTGGGTTGTTAGGACTAGATCTATAAGACGGGCCATAGGGGTGTACTCACACATTTAGACTCAGCACATGGGTTCATTCCGGCGAGGTTGGCCCAGTTGGCCGGACGAGTTGTTCCAGGTACTTGCGGACCGCAGGTAGCTTGGGGAAGGGCCATTGGCATTGGAGGTTTCCCTGTGCTGAGACAGATAAAGTCACCCTGGTATAGCCGTCCGCATCCGAGCCATGCCCAGGTGTTCTTATTGAAGCTTTCGATGTCGGCCTCGGTGATACCGTGTGCTTTGGCAATCAATGCACACGTATCATAACCTTGGATGATGTATTTGAAACAAAAGCCGTCTTTGGTTGGAACTGGGGCGGCAGCTGTCGCGAGACGGAGTAAGAGAAGCCATAGAGCGAGAAAGTCGATTCGGAAGAGACCCATCGTGTGTAGACATGGGAGATACAGCCATTTGTCGAGTAGCAAGGCTCGTCATTCTTTATATAGATTGACAGAGAGAATCGTGGATATGAGATCGAGACTGGATAGAGATACGGCATGAAAGAAACAGCATACTGTTTCTGATTTAGAGCAAGTCCCATGGGAAGTGGCCAAGAACAATCTAACATTGATGCACTTGATGAATGTGAGATGTTAGTATTGTTCAAGGGCTGAAACAAAGATTCGGGGAAATATGTCGCATGGGAGGTTTTGACATCCTGGATGTTTTCATTGTTCGCTCGAATCAGCCGTGCATGACCTCTGCAATGTGCTATGTATAAAGTTAGAGGCGGTCTTTGTTGAACCTCGCCTTGGGCTCTTCTGGTGTCGAATGCTAAATGTTCTTTGATCGTAAGTGGCCATCGTGAGGCGATAGATGCTTGCGTCCTAGGGTAAGAATCAGCAATCGACTCACGTCTTTGATATGTACGGCGTGGCAAATGAAACATATCCAAGGGGAGGTACACATCTAGAGTAACTATTTGAGCAAGAGTTGCAAGGACATGTGCGTACCTAACTAGATTCGCTTGTGTTTGACGTGTACTTGCAGTGCATCAGTACATGCACCTTGGACGTTAAGCACTCTTGATATTTGGACTCTCTGCTGCCAGTCTGTGGTATCCAAGGCCCTGGTCCCTGTCTTTGTTTCTTTGTCTTTGATAGTTATAGTATGGACTTGTATTTATTAATATCTTATATCATTGGACCAATGGGGGAGACCGCATGACACAACAATGTACAACAATATAATCAGAACATCGACGACCCGAGCAAAACACAGCCAATCAACCAAGCCGGCCACCACACACACCAAACAACGACCTGGGTCCACATACCCCAAACATCCCAACCGAAAGCCGCCTGAGTGAGGACAGCCTCGACTGAGACCCCCATATACCAGCAGACACCAAGGAGAACAGTTGGCGGGGAGACGAGGTTAAGAAGAACCAAACCCAGACTGGAAGTTGTTAAGCGGAATGGCGCAGAGCCTTGCAGGCGAGTGATGAAGCTAAGTGGCACGCAGAGTAGACCGATCATGAATGAAAGGGAGAAGTTGAGGGTGGCGAGGGTTGAGAGGGAGAGACCTAGTAGGAGGAGGGAGAAGGATTTAATAAGGTGGTACTGTTGGGGGATGATTGGCTTTGATAAACCGAGGCCGTTGGAGAGGATTGCGGCGAGGAAGAGGGGAAGGATGATGTCCACGACTACGAATATGTAGGTGGTAGTTGTGAAGTACTGAAGATTTGTTAGCAGCTATTAGTATTGTGGTTGTAGGCTGGCAGTTCTCACCTGGTGGAAGACATTATTAAAGACCCAGAGCGGGACAAGGCCGAGTAGATGGAGTCCGACAACAAGCGAGAGTGGTAGAGCGAGGTGTCGTTCCGCGATACTAATCGCATTGGCCTTGTCTTCAGTGGGCGCCTTCTCATTCTCCGGTTTGGCACTTGGGGTTTTTTCTGGGAAGTACCCAGTGCGGATCCAAAGGGCAATTGCCATGATGGTGAAGTTTCCGGCGATCAGCATAGCACTAGGCAAATAGGTACCAATGCTGACAAAACGGTTGGATTGCATGAGCAGGTAGAAGAAAAAGCTCTGGTGCAGGTGCTCCAGCAAGTTGTTCAAGCTGCGGCACAGAGACTCAATCGTTCGGCCTAGGGCCATTTCGTCCTCCCATCCCTCGCCCTTGGTCTGCAGAGTGATAGCGTCGATATGGTACGGCATGAAGCTGCTGTGTGCACCAGTGGCATACCCGAGTCCCTGCTTGGTCATACCGCGGAATATGGTCTGTAGGCGATGCTTGTAGCTGTCGTCGTGACCCCACATTTCTTGTAGATTGGCCCCGATACCCATCTGGCCGCCTGCAATGGCTACAGCCGTGTTGAACAGGTCGAGGTTGGGGAGTTGGCCGTTGACTCCGTCATATACAATATGGAGCGTCTGGAAACGGTGCTCTAACGGGTATTCGATGACCAGTGCTCCTTGTAACGCTCCACTCTTCAGAGGAAGTGGCTGCACCGAAGCCGGGTGCATATCGTGGTAGGCATCGATCCAAGCCTGAGTTCCGGTTTTGCTATCCGGGGTAATTAGGAAGATGATATCCTTGGACCATAGTGACCATCCTAGCATGAATTGTCAGTAACCCGACCAGAGGAGCGCAACTACCAAACTCACTTTTGAAGTATCTCGCCAGTGTCAGGGAAAGAGTAACACCATTCAGGTTTAACTTATCATCAGCTGTCAGCCATGGCGCAACCAGCACAATTGCTTCCGTGGCATCACCGCGCGGGGCATGGATAATAGCATAAGTGTTCTCTCCCCGGTGCGTAACACCAGCAGAGGTGTATTCGTATTTTTGCGTGGCAACCTTAAGACCCGCCGCTTGCAAGATTGACTGCAACTTGTCCGAGACCCTGTTGAAGTATCAGCGAATAGTCCAGCTTGTGCCGTGTTCATTCGACTTACGCCGCTGTCACCTCGGCCTCGTCTTTTTGGCCGCCTCTCGCTTGCCCATCATTCAGCAATCCTTCCAATTCTTTCTTATAGCCCCGGAAGATGTTCTGCTCGCTTCCGGTGAAATACGCATGGACTTGGCCCGGCAGGAGCGCATTCTCGGAAATGTAGGTTTGTCGGGAGTACTCGTTCAAAGGCAGGAGAAGTAGCCATACAACGCCGACGACAACACAGATAAAGGATAGGAGATTCGGGAGGCGAACGAAGATGAGGTTGGGGTTACTCCCCAAGTTGCGGATTGCAGCTGGCATCTTGTTAGTTAGGGTAGTGGTGCTAGGAAGGACAGGTGGTATTTCAGCTTGCTCACATTTCAACGCCATTGAATAATGACCATTGGGAAACTAGTTCCCGTGCCGCGAAGGCGAAGCCGTTAAATGAGTGGAATAATTGAATTGGACTGGAGTGTTACAAGTCAACAGTGGAGATCGAGAGCTCCGTTGTTTATGCGCGGAGAAGTGGAATTTACGCCGAACGACAAAGACCAATAGTGCAAATTAAATGTGAGTATGCACACGCTATGCTATTATCCAATGTCCCCCGAGTCTGCAACAATATAAAAACTTATAGTCGAAAATATACATTAAAAATGAGAAATGAAGAATGCGTCAATATCCGGGATCATGCTCCAAGGCGCTGGGTAGATCCCAAGTAGCTCAGAGGTGGTTGGTTGCCGTTGGCGCCGGCGGGGTTGGTGGTTGGAAGAACTCCATAGCGACCGTAGGTCTTCTGGTCAACGGAGACGTAGTGAGGTAGACGTCCCAGGAGGTTCAGCTTGCCCTCGATCCAGCGGAGGACCTTCTCAGGGGGCACAAACACCTTGAGGTATCCGAGGCCAACTAATGACAATTAGCAGTGGAAAAAAGGGAAAGCCAGAGAAGGGAACTCACGGAGATATCCAACAAGAATTGCACAGAGATGGCCGAGGAAGCTGACGTTCGAGATGAGGATAGATACAACGACACATGCGAACAGGGGTGAAGTCCAGGTGGGAATCTTGTACGGGCCAAGACTGAAGGGCGTTAGTAAGATTAGAGCAAGATATTCCAAGTGAATCTTACCTGAAGTTGGGGTGAGACTTGTAGGTCTTGATGGCTTCCGAACCGAGAAGCAGGAAAACCCAGATGCTGGATTGAAGGTCAGTTACCGAAACATTCAACCTGGTGACTTATAGCATACCTTGCGCCGACCACCGAAGTATTTCTGTGTAGGATAAACCTCTCAACCAAGATATAGAGCCCGGCGGGAGCAGTCGAGAGAGCTAAATTATCCAACATTAGTCAAAATGACCACAATCGTTGTGTTTTACCAGAGTACTCACGTCCAATAAACAGCGCAATAGCAGTCAAAGTACCATGCTCGGCCTCAAAGCGCTCCAGCAACGGTGCAACCGCCACAGCATTAAAGAAAGCATGGAAGAAGCCAGTGTGGATGATGGGATAAGTGTTAAGTCGGTACACTAGTAACACCACCAAGTTAGCGTGCGCCCAATATACCCTTCTAGCATAGAATTAAACTTACTAGTCCCCAGGTTAATCTCCTCCGGGATCAAAGCACCCCACTGCACAACACTCCACATGGTTTGGAATTCAAGCAGCCAGAAGGCCAGAATGACCAGCAGCACCAGGCGGGTGAACAGCGGTAGTCGGAGGATGTATGTTCGTATCCGACCCGGATTGAAAGGCAACGGGGGTAAAGCGGCAGGAGTCGCCATGATTGCTGGATGCTGATATTCTGTTTACTGTCACTCTCGAATAAATATAGTGACGAAACCACTCAGGGCGGCTGGGGTAAAGTTGGGCTGGCAAGTCGGGATATACCACGACTCTGAAGGAGAGGATGTGCGGTCGGAGCCGTTGGGAAGAATTGACAATGTATTCGAGGGTCAGATGGTGGATCAAACAATTAATGACTGGAAAGAAAAGATCAATCGTTAGATTCTGTTTTCCTCGCTAGTCGACCTTCCGGCCCGGTCCTAGGGATAACTCACAAGGCGCACGCGATCCCTGCGGGAATCGAAAACAAGAGACAACAAGTCCTAAGTAGAAACGAGTAGAACCCAAATTTCAGGGTCAAAAACAACTTAAATGAAGTATCTAACTCGAACAGAGGTCGAGGGAAACATGCGGACCATTAAGGCGACTTGTTCGCGAAGTTACGCCCCGCGATAAAGACCAGCCGCGCAACTATAAACCTCCGGCCCCGGGGGTAAGTGGCGAGTATAAACTATCTCAATTTACTCCGTACTGGCTGCTACAACGGTCTATTCATCAAAGATCAAATTGGTCCTGTATCCCGCTATTTGCTATCTATGTATTCAAAATCGTTCCAATTCATTTATAGGTGCTGGTTAAACCAGGCGATGGCTTGGCAGAAGGCCTGCTCCTTAGCCCACTTCTGCTTGGGGTCGCTCAGATCGGCGCGCACAGCGAAAC